CTTCATAATAATTTCATAAAATTTAATTGAATTAAATTAAAGTAATTGAAACTAGAAACAAGCTAAACTTGTGTAATTGTGTAAATTTTCTTAAAATAACTGCCACAAGCAACCATTTATTTATCTATTTTTAGAAACTGGCCATCTTATCGGTGGGTTTTTAATTTGTTCCTTTTTTCCTTTTTGTTTTTCTTTTTTTGAAAATATATAAAAATTTTTGCACTTCACACTGACTGACTAATACATTAAGTTAAAGATACTAGTTTCATTCTAAGTTTACGAGCCAACTTTTTTTAATGTTCTTGATCTTGGTTTGGTTGTTTTATGTTCTTTTGCTGGTTGTGTATTTCTTTCTACTTCGACTACTTTTTTTCCCGCTGATGATGAACTTGAGACCTTGACACTGATGATGTTTCTTACCAACTAAAGAATAGAACATAAACAGAAGAACGACAGAAAAATGAAGGAAAAAAAGTACCACAAGCAAAAACAAAGTACACAACACCAGCACCACCACCAGTAAATAGTAGTAGAAGATAAATGTAAGTGGAAGTGTAGTATGTTTAGTGCGGGGAAAACAAGTTATAACATGTTCGTTTTGGCCAATTACAGCAAATCATCGCAAGAAGAACAACACTAACCATACACACCAAACCAAACTGAAAACAAACTGAAACCAACTCAAAAATCAAAACTCAGCTTGAGGCAGCAAAGATTTACCACATTTACCACTCTTTCTTTGTTTTTCATTTTCTTAAGTTTTCTGGCATTTTTCACGACATAAACGACAGTGATGACTATAAATTTTGTTGAATTAAACAAGAAGTATGCAACACGGTACAAGAACTATTTTTTTGTTTTTGTATTTACATTCCACAACTACACGCATAAAATCCACTTATATTTACATTACATACATTATCGTATCTAGACAAAACGTATCTATGTGTCTTACCGGTAGTTGTATCCAAAGCAAAACGATAGTCAGTCGTCTAAGTGAGTGTGTGTTTGGTCAACGTATTTACATGTACGTGCGATAAGATTGTCATTGATGTACGTGCCTTGCATTTTAAAGTTACACACTGCGAATGAACCACCGAACGAACGGACGTACGACAGTGTATTGCAACAAATTAAATTTCAACTCACAACTCTCTATGCAGCACTTGTACTTGTTTACTTTTACTCTGGGAGTATTTTGGGTTTTTAGGTTTTTTCTTTCTTCATGATTGCGTTGGTTCCAATAGTTATAGAGAGCTTTTGTTTTGAGAGTTTCTTGTATTTTATGAATGAAAGATCTATTTTTTTTAGCATGTCATCTCTTAAAATGCTGTAGGGATTTCTTTTTTTAGTTTTTTTCAGCTCGGTTTCTTATTTTCTTTAGTCATCATAATTTTTAATCTAAATTAATGAATATGGTGATTAAGTATTTATTAAAAAAAGAAACAAGTTGGAATATACAGTCGGGCAAGGCCTATCATATAAAACCCTACACCAGTGAGAATTTTTAAAATGAGAATTAATTTCAAATAATAAAGCATTTTACCTTAATTCAGAAATATTTTAACAATTTGTTGCAAAAAAGTGATTTTCCGAATGCTGGGTCACAAGCATTACATGGACACACGGACTGACAGACAGATGGACGGACAGACATACCAATCGACTCAGAAAGTGATTCTATAGACCAGACTATAGACTAGACTATAGACTAGACTATAGACTAGACTATAGACTAGACTATAGACTAGACGATAGACTAGACTATAGACTAGACTATAGACTAGACTATAGACTAGACTATAGACTAGACTATAGACTAGACTATAGACTAGACTATAGACTAGACTATAGACTAGACTATAGACTAGACTATAGACTAGCTATAGACTAGACTATAGACTAGACTATAGACTAGACTATAGACTAGACTATAGACTAGACTATAGACTAGACTATAGACTAGACTATAGACTAGACTATAGACTAGACTATAGACTAGACTATAGACTAGACTATAGACTAGACTATAGACTAGACTATAGACTAGACTATAGACTAGACTATAGACTAGACTATAGACTAGACTATAGACTAGACTATAGACTAGACTATAGACTAGACTATAGACTAGACTATAGACTAGACTATAGACTAGACTATAGACTAGACTATAGACTAGACTATAGACTAGACTATAGACTAGACTATAGACTAGACTATAGACTAGACTATAGACTAGACTATAGACTAGACTATAGACTAGACTATAGACTAGACTATAGACTAGACTATAGACTAGACTATAGACTAGACTATAGACTAGACTATAGACTAGACTATAGACTAGACTATAGACTAGACTATAGACTAGACTATAGACTAGACTATAGACTAGACTATAGACTAGACTATAGACTAGACTATAGACTAGACTATAGACTAGACTATAGACTAGACTATAGACTAGACTATAGACTAGACTATAGACTAGACTATAGACTAGACTATAGACTAGACTAGACTAGACTATAGACTAGACTAGACTAGACTATAGACTAGACTATAGACTAGACTATAGACTAGACTACTAGACTAGACTATAGACTAGACTAGACTAGACTAGACTAGACTATAGACTAGACTATAGACTAGACTATAGACTAGACTATAGACTAGACTATAGACTAGACTATAGACTAGACTATAGACTAGACTATAGACTAGACTATAGACTAGACTATAGACTAGACTATAGACTAGACTATAGACTAGACTATAGACTAGACTATAGACTAGACTATAGACTAGACTATAGACTAGACTATAGACTAGACTATAGACTAGACTATAGACTAGACTATAGACTAGACTATAGACTAGACTATAGACTAGACTATAGACTATAGACTAGACTAGACTATAGACTAGACTATAGACTAGACTAGACTAGACTAGACTATAGACTAGACTAGACTAGACTATAGACTAGACTAGACTATAGACTAGACTAGACTAGACTAGACTAGACTAGACTATATAGACTAGACTAGACTATAGACTAGACTAGACTATAGACTAGACTAGACTATAGACTAGACTAGACCATAGACTAGACTATAGACTAGACTAGACTAGACTAGACTAGACTAGACTAGACTAGACTAGACTAGACTAGACTATAGACTAGACTATAGACTAGACTATAGACTAGACTATAGACTAGACTATAGACTAGACTATAGACTAGACTATAGACTAGACTATAGACTAGACTATAGACTAGACTATAGACTAGACTATAGACTAGACTATAGACTAGACTATAGACTAGACTATAGACTAGACTATAGACTAGACTATAGACTAGACTATAGACTAGACTATAGACTAGACTATAGACTAGACTATAGACTAGACTATAGACTAGACTATAGACTAGACTATAGACTAGACTATAGACTAGACTATAGACTAGACTATAGACTAGACTATAGACTAGACTATAGACTAGACTATAGACTAGACTATAGACTAGACTATAGACTAGACTATAGACTAGACTATAGACTAGACTATAGACTAGACTATAGACTAGACTATAGACTAGACTATAGACTATAATAATGACTATAGACTAGACTATAGACTAGACTATAGACTAGACTATAGACTAGACTATAGACTAGACTATAATAATGACTATAGACTAGACTATAGACTAGACTATAATAATGACTTCAAAAGCTATTGTGTAAGTAAATTTTAGCATTTTAACCTACTTTACTTTTCAATGTAAGTTTTTGCTGGGTATTTTAACAGAATTGAAAAAATATTGCAATGATTACAAAACGATCTTGTGGTGGACAGGTTGTTGAAACTGCTAACGTTTGATTTTCTATCAACAACTAAAAGTAGGCAACATTTCTTGTCAACTAAACAAAATTTCCCCGTAATAGGTTTGAAAATTCACTAAATTTATATAAAGAAATCCCAATATTTGACCATTACGAATACACATTTCTTTAACAGGATCACTGAATTACTAAATTGCATATTTGGCTTATTTAACTTAAGGGCTTGTAAAGAAAATAATACGTTAATCTTAATATTATGTAGAAGTTTAAAGCAAGAAATTTTAATATCTAAATTTAGAATGTGATCTTGAATATATTTAGTTTAGATTGTACAGTAGACTATATAGTGGTAACTACAGTTTAGACTATAGACTTGAATATAGTTTAGACTACATTGAAAACCCAGAAACTGAAATATACTACCATCTACCTAATCAAAACTCTAGACTAGAGTCTCTAGCTTCCATGGAGAATTTCGATTATCGAACCCTCATAGAGCACTATATGTATAAGGCTTTTTCCATTAACATTTTCCATGTAAAGGAGACAAGTCTATGTTCTTTCTAACCAAATCTTACCTATAGTCTTGGTTATATCCTGCAATTTTTCTTAGCTTATAGTCTTAACTACAGTTTAAGCTATAACAAATTCTGTTGGCTATAGTTTAGACTACAATCATGACTACAAACTGTGGTAGTGACTATAGTTTAGACTATTGTATTGAGTAATTTAGACTATAGTCTTGCTTGTGATCTTTACAGTAGTTAAGACTATGGTCTTGGCTATAGTTTATACTATACTATATGGTATGTTTATAGTTTGCCCTATAAACAAGACTATTAAAGGGTTTCCAGTAAAATAATAAAATTCAATAATTTCTTTTTAAATTACTGATTTTTTATAAAATATATAAAATTATTAGAATAAATGACAAAAAATAAATAATTTGTTAAGCTAAAATCTTACAATTAAAATCCTACAAATAATACAATTCAGTACAAAAAGAAGGACAGGTTTAAAACAAATTTACAATAATAAATTATAAAAGAAAAAAGAAACTACAAAACACAAATAAATACTTTTTTAAATTAAGGACTCAAATCTCAAGAAAATTAAAAAAAAATGTTAATTTTTACTCTAAATGGTATTTGTGACTTAAGTACTAACAACCCCGAGTTGTTGATGAAATTAATCACTTCAGTTGGAATATAAACGGCAAAAGTCAACTGGTAACACCCTAAATGGTTTGATGCCAAATACTACTACGTGCTTTCATTGTAAATTACTTTATTAATCCAAGGAACGAATTTTTGTATGTTCGTATAGACACCCGGTAAATGTTCACGACCACAACCAATGCCCCAGGAAACTAGACCAATAAGAGTTTTACGACCATCTAGAGAAAGTGTTAGGGGGCCACCAGAATCACCTTGACAAGAATCACGACCACCTTCTTTGTAGCCGGCGCAAAGGAAAACATCGTGTATGGTTTCTCGTCTGCCAGCAGCACGGAACCAGCGTTGACAGCGATCGTTGGATAAGACTTCAACGTCGACTTCCTTTAAATGATACAAAAAGATAATTTATATATAATGTTTAATTTCCACTGATTTATTCCAACTAACCTGTAAAACAGAGGGTACTGTGCTTTGTCCATGTCTCGTTCTACCCCAGCCCGCCACCGTGGCCATTTTACCCACTAATTTTGTGGCTGCTGGAGGCAAACATACCGGTATTATATGCTGCTTATAGACCACATTACGATCTAAACGTATTAAAGCCAAATCATTTTTAAAATCGGCCGGATTATAATGCGGATGAACTTCTTTACGTTCTATGCCAAATTCCTCATGATTTAAACGTTCCTCTTGGCCTCTGACATCCCATTCACCCAGACGTATTTTCATATTAGAATTAGGAGTGCTTGATAATAAAAATTGTATGAAAGTTGTATATTAAAGTCCTTTGAATGATAAATCAGTTACTTACGTGGCCACACAATGAGCAGCTGTTACCACCCATCTGTTGGAGATGAGAGCACCACCACAACTCAATTTGCGTGATAGAAAACCACTTTTAATTAAGGCCACCTGCCAAGGATGGGAACCAAAACCAGTCGAATGGCCACCCACAATGCGATTGGATCGTGTAAAAATTTCACCACAACCTAAAACAAATTTAAGGAAAAAATTAATAAAAATAATTTTAAAAATTTGAAAACACAAGAAAAGATTCTAAAGAAACAGTGTAAATGCCGTGCAAAGCCAGTTAAGCTAGAAAGTGCTTTGGAAATAGTGTTTGCCAAAAAAACCAAGAATAGAAGAACTACTAAGAGATTCTAAGTATACATTAACATAGTCATACGAGAAGAAAGGAAAAGTAGTCAACAACTAAAGAAAGAAACGTAGTTAGTTTATGTTTAATACCCGGTACTGGACGATATGTACTATCCGGATACTTGGTAGTGCCTGTTCCATAATCACCATCAATTTCACCATTATTCAAATCCAAAACATTGCCCACCGCATAGGCAGCATCATTGACCGCTAAACTATGAGCACTGCCATCCAGACCTACCGGTCTCTGTACCTGCGGTTCGGGTGGTACATCAAAGAAATTATCCAAATGATTTGTTATGCCTGTGTGTGTTGCTGTTCCACCTAAATGATTAGTTTCATGATCCCAAGGACCGGGTCCATTCGAGAAACCATTACCACTACCCGGTCTAGTGGTATGAGGTTTATAATTGATCAGTGGTGCCTGAGAGTGGGGACGATTTGTGGTATAGTGTGCTGAGGCAGATGATGATATTTGATATTGATGATTAGTTAAATGGCCGGGATAATGACTGGTTGAGGTGGCATGAGATCCCAATGTGTTGCTATGTAGTGGTCGATTTAGGGGTTGTATATAGTTGGCACTGCTGTGATGTTTATTATGATTGGCCAGATCTGGGTAAATGTCATATAAGTGAATGATGTCACCTAAAGAAAGTAAAATTTTTAAGGTGCATGTTGTTTTTTTTTACAATTTTGTTTGTTTTTTTTTTCTTGATTTAAAATATATACATATCTGGTCATACTAAAGCCAAGACTAAGAACCTGGTCATAGTCAAGACTCTATCCAAGACTCTAATTAATTTAGAGAGCATATACCATAGATTACAGACGAGAATATAACCAAGACTATTGAATAGAATATAGTAAAGACTTTAAATTATAGTCAATACTATATAGCAGACTGTGGTCAAAGCTATAGGCCAGATTATAACCAAGGCTATGGACCACAATATAGTCATCATAAGACTATAGACCAGAATATAGCCCTGACATTAATATATACCAGAAGATAGTCAAGGATATAGACCAGACTATTGTCTTGACTAAAGAGCAAAATATAGTGAAGATTGTAGACTATACTGTAGTCAAGACTGTAGAATATAATATAGATCAGACAATAGTCAAGACTATTTTGAAGAAAATATAATAAATTATAGTTCAGACCATAGACTAAACTATAGTCCAGACTACAGACTAAACTATAGACGAGACTGTAGTCCAAATTATAGACTAGACTATAGTGCAAACTTTAGAATATGTAAGAGTACAGACTATAGACCAGACTATAGGCTAAACTGTAGTCCAAACTATAGACCAGACTTTTTCCCAGACTATAGACCAGTTAATTGTTAAGACTATAGATCAGACTATAGTCAAGCTATACACCAAAGTATAGTCAAGACAAAAGATCAGATTATAGTCAAGTCTAGATACTGACTATAATCCAGACTGCAGACCTCGTCAGGACTATAAACTAGACTATTTGACAGACTATAGATAAGACTATAGTCCAAACTATAGACTAGACTATCGTTCAAAATACAGGCTATACTAGAGTCCAGACTATAGACTGGACTATTGTTCTGACTATAGTCAAGGCTACAGACCAGACTATTGTCCAGACTGTAGGCCAGACTATAGTCAATACTATAGACTAGGCTATAGTCCAGACTATAGACCTGAATATCGTCAAGATTATAGACTAGACTATAGTCCAGTCTATAGACCAGACTATAGTCCAAATTATAGACAGGGTAGATCAGAGTCCACTCTACAGGCTAGACTAGATTCCAGACTAGACTATTGTTCAGACTATAGATTAGAGTGTAGTCAAGACTACAAACCAGAGTATAGTCAAGACTAAAGACCAGACTATAGCCAATACTATAGACTAGGCTATAGTGCAGACTATAGACCTGAATATCATCAGGACTATAGACCAGACTATAGTCCAAACTATAGACTATAGTTCAAACTACAGGCTAGATCAGAGTCCACTCTACAGGCTAGACTAGATTCCAGACTAGATAATTGTTCAGACTATAGATTAGATTGTAGACGAGATTAGACCATTGTAATCACTATAGTCAAGGCTACAGACCAGAGTATAGTCAAGACTAAAGATCAGACTATAGCCAGTACTATAGACTAGGCTATAGTCCAGACTATAAACCTGAATATCTTCAAGAATATAGACTAGACTATAGTTCAAACTACAGGCTAGATCAGAATACACTCTACAGACTAGACTAGATTCCAGACTAGACTATAGATTAGAGTGTTGACCAGAATATACTCAAGACTAAAGCCAAAACTGTAGAATATATTGTAGACCAAACTATAAACAAGGCTATAGACCGCACTATATATCAGACTGAAACTAGTACTATAGTAAAGACAACACTGAGAAGTCAAAGCAAGCATCGGATCATATGTAAGAATATAAACTATACTAGTCGGGACTATAGACCGGACTATAGATGTGAATATAGACAAGACCATAATCAAGACTATAAACCAGATTGTAGTCAAAACTTTAGAACAGGATATAGTCAAGACTATAGTAGTCTATAGTAAACACTATAGTCCAGACTAAAGGCTTACATAACCCCTAAAATCCTTTTGTTCTGAGGGCTTTTAAGTTTAAAAAAATATTCTCCATTTTTCACAAATGCTTCGTATTAAAAATAATGAGTCAAACATTTTTGGAAGTAAACACATACATACCATTCACTATTAAATTTTGAAATATTTTCAAATTATTAATGACGTTTTAAAAAAAATCAAATTAGGTTAAATATAAAAAAGCCTGACTAGACTACAGTTAAGTAACCATCTCATCCTCCTATAAACTTTCTTAACAATTTACGTTAATCAAATTTAGATACAAATATTTAATTATTTTATAACAATCATATAATTGGTATTATATAATCTGATCTTCATCATATAATATATAAAACAAGTAGTGACCAACTTATGGAATTATTTAATTTACACACAATTAAAATGAAATAAAAAAAAAATCAACTACCGGCCACAGTTTTATTTATTTAATAACAAGAAAATAATAAAATTTACAACTAAATGATGAGATAACCTTAATTCACACATAACTAAAACAAAAACAAAAGAAAAAATAAATGATACACAAATTATTATACAATAATCACAGACATGAACTGATGACGATGTCAATGATGAAAGTAAAACTAAATGAAAGCAAGTTTTATAGAGCAAAAGGAATGAATGGAATGTCAGACCTTTAATTAACACTTAAGCGACAATGGTCGTATGGACAGACTTTTAGATGTTATAACAATTCCTCAAAACTTAAATAACTGTTAATTACAGCACTGGCAGTGATAATGCTACTGCCTTTAAAACAAAAAACATTGTACATATTTGATCTGTGAAAAGCTTTTGCTTTGTAACGTTAAAAAACGTTACCCTCCACTAACTTTAGTTCCTATTTAAATATGTTTTATTTTATTTATTTACTTGTTTTAGTTTTGTTACCAAAAGTGAGAAAATCCCCTTTAAAGAAACAATAAAAAAAGAAAATAAAGTAAAAAAATGCGAATTCATTTTCAGTTACAAAAAATTAAAAAAAGTAATCATTATTATACAAAAAACAACAACAAACCAGCAAAAGAAAATACACATAAATCTTACAATACTGCAAAAGAAAGAAGAAAAAAAAAAACACAACTACATACATCAAGTCTTAAATCATCAAATCCACCAACCAACCGACCGACCTTAGTGGAAAATAAAAGATGAAAAAAAAAGTTTCACTTTTTATTTTTCAACATTACGAGTAATAAACGCGTTTATCCAGCGAACTAAACAATAATTATGGAAAATTTTTTAAATCCAGCTTGTCTGGGGGAGATTTTAATTTAAAAAACAAAATTATTCCGAAAAATTTTAAATATAAATAAAATCACTTAGAGTTTGTTAAAAAATTAATTCAAAATTCAAAATCCTAATATATTAATTTACTTTAAACATACAATGGTTTAGAAACAAAGTTAGCTATCTCCATTTTTGGAGAAATATATTTATAATACATTCTACGCCAGTGAAAAACCGTGGTTAAAATTTACCCATTAATGAAAAACAATAACTCCATTGGAGATAACTACTTTTGTATATCATTGTCTCAACTAGTTTGAATTAAGACCAGAATAGCATTAAAGAAAGGGTATGAACCAGACATAGAACAAGACTACTAATCAGATCACAATCAAGACTATATACGAGTTTATAAGGAAAACTTTAGACCAGATTATAGTTAAGAATACCGAATACTATATATAATCCAGACTTTAGATATGAACCAGATCTTAGTCAAGACTAAACAATTTCAGACTGTCCTATAGACATATTTATAAACAAGACTATAGTCAAGACATTAGACCGAACCATAATTAACACTATATACCAGTTTATAACGAAGACTTTAGACCAGTTTATAGTTAAGAATACCGAGCAGACTGAAACCAAGACTATATATAATCCAGACTTATGGATTATAACCAGATCATAGTCAAGACTAAAACATTTCAGACTGTTCTATAGACAATTTGTAAACAAGACTGTAGACAAGACTATAGTCAAGAAATTAGACCGAATCATAATCAAGACTATATACCAGTTTATGAAGAAAACTTTAGACCAGATTATAGTTAAGAATACCGAGCAGAATGAAGCCAAGTCTATATATAATTCAGACTTTAGATTACACTATAGATATAAACCAGATCATAGTCAAGACTAAAACATTTCAGACTGTCCTATAGACATATTTGTAAACAAGACTATAGTCAAGACATTAGACCGAACCATAATTAAGACTATATACCAGTTTATAACGAAGAGCTTATACCAGATTATAGTTAAGAATACCGAGCAGACTGAAGCCAAGACTATATATAATCCAGACTTTAGATTACACTATAGATATAAACCAGATCATAGTCAAGACTAAAACATATCAGACTGTCCTATAGACAATTTGTTAACAAGACTGTAGACAAGACTATAGTCAAGACATTAGACCGAACCATAATTAAGACTATATACCAGTTTATAACAAAGACTTTGGACAAGATTATAGTTAAGACTACCGAGGATAATGAATCCAAGACTATAGTCCCGACTTTAGATTACACTATAGATATGAACCAGATCATAGTCAAGACTAAGACATATCAGACTGCCCTATAGACAAATTTGTAAACAAGGCTGTAGACAAGACTATAGATCTGACTATAGTCAAGACATTAGACCGAACCATAATTAAAACTATAGACTACACTATAGTCAATAATATAGTGCAGACTAAAATCAAGACTGCGGACCAGACTATATAAAACAGACTTTGCAAAACACTTATGTCACACATAAGAACACAGATCTATAGAAATACGTGGAGGAAGCCAAGATTTCTGGACATATTATTTTGCACGAACATTTCCCAAGTAAACTTGTGCGTTTGATTTGACCAAAATATTTAATTGCTTCAATTAAAAATTTCTTTGATACAAAAATCACAATAAATTATATTAAAAGTGGATTGATGTCATATTCAAACAATTTTTTAAGGAAATTAAAATATTAATTGATTTAATTAAATAAAGTACTTGCAATTTCGTTCTATTAAATAGTTAATTGAATAAATTAACATTTTCTTTTATAAATTTACTTTGCTTTAGAAGTTTAAAATATTAAGTTTGAAATACACTTATTTCCTTAAATATTTAAACAATGTGCCTTTAACTTTAATTTTCTTTAATAATATTTTTTAATTTTTATGTTTGCATTTTTTAACTATTAAAACTTTAATGAAGCTTTATCCAGACTTGACTGATGTTTCTTTAGATTTTATGAAAGAAAGTGAAATGATTTACATTTTTGGTGTGTAAGTTTTTGTCTGATGCGTTTTCGGTTTTTTTTCTCATATTTATGGTTAAATGTTAAATCAAAAGTTTATGAAAATTTTTAATTTATTCACTCATCCAGACATGCAAAAAGGTTATTAGAGCAAAACGCAATATGTCTGAAGGGTTTTGTTTGAAATAGTTTTTGGATTAATATAAATTTTTGATTTGGATTTGGAGTTAAAAGTTCATGTAGTTTAAATAAATGTTTAAAATTTTGAAATACATATATTTTCAATTTTTAATAAAAAGAATTGTATTCGACATTTCTCGAATAGGAGAGAAATTTGTGGCTTTGATTAGGAGAGACATATGCGCTTCCTAACTATTATTAGTTCACGACTATGTATGTTGCATGCGATGGACGAAACAGTCGATATGGATGGACATCTTTTTAAATATTAAACAAGAAAGAAACTAACGGAGCTATTTTAAGCATTTGAAATAACGTTCGTCTTTGGACAAAAAGGGAAATTATATTAAAAATCACGAAGTGTAGCGTGCGCACAAGGTTTACAAGGTCTATAGTCTAGTCTATAGTCTAGTCTATAGTCTAGTCTATAGTCTAGTCTATAGTCTAGTCTATAGTCTAGTCTATAGTCTAGTCTATAGTCTAGTCTATAGTCTAGTCTATAGTCTAGTCTATAGTCTAGTCTATAGTCTAGTCTATAGTCTAGTCTATAGTCTAGTCTATAGTCTAGTCTATAGTTCTAGCGGTTTCTAGCGGTTTTGGTAACTCAAAACTATAGTCTAGTCTACAGTTCTAGCGGTTTCTAGCGGTTTTGGTAACTCAAAACATGATTAGGTAGTTTAGTTGAGAACCTCTGCCTTTTACAAACGTTCAACATTTGGTAAAAGCGGCAATTTATTTACAATTTAATTTATTTATTTGTTGTACGTCTTCTAAACATTAAAGTACCCAGCAAAAACTTGCATTGAACAGTTATAAGTTAAAAAGCTTTAAAATTCAGTTTTCACGAATTATTCATTAACATTTTAACACTGTGATGACAAGGGAGGTGTGAACTTAAGAGGCTTGCTTACAAATAACTACTTAAATAAGTACTAACAAATAGGGAGTTAAAAAAGTAGCTAGCAAGCTATCAAATAAAATGGCAAAACTCAAAATAAAGTACTTACTTATTAGTTTATATGTAAGTCTTTATAAGATTACTTCAAAGTAATGCAGACGGTAGTGAAGTTATTGTGTAAGTATAAGTTATTATCGAGTTTTTGCTGGGTGATTTTATTTTATTTGTTGTTCATAAGCAAGTACATAGTTTTTTTTTTATTTTGCCTAATGCTTATAGAATTTAGCTAAATTTTACGAAATGCTCTACAAAACTGTTATTTTTCAATTTATTTTATTTTTTCGTATAATAAATATTGTTGCAAATTGTTTGCATTGGTAGTATGAAAAAAATTGCATAACAATTGTTGAAGCCAAGCGTTTCAAAGTAATCAAAAAATATATATAAAAAAATTGACGCATAAAACAAAGTAATTGTAATGGATAATTTTCAAATTATTTTCCTAGAAAATCGGTTACTATGTTAAACGTTACTCACTGGTATTATTAACTGGGGCAGCATTAGCATTTGCCTCTTCATCATTGGATTCTTTGTCAACGCAACAAGACCAAATCATGCCACCCGAACATAAATCCACTGGCTTGCCACCACCCAAGACACAGGATATTGAAAGGCCACATTCGAATTTTTGACCACGATAACGGCAGGTTTGAGGAATCACTAGAAATGGGGAAAAAAGTTTATTAAACAATTGCAATTTTTTCTTTAAATTGTTAATTAATTTATATAAAAACTAAGTACTTCTTGCTAGCATTTCCATAACAGAATTTTCGCCATAATAACCCGTTCCACTTCGGCGTGATAGAGCATCTAATATTATAAGATCATGCTCCTGTTGGGCAGTGGGATAGGCTAAGATCTGTGAGGAATGACTGGAATGCACTAAAAGACACAATATTTCAAATGTCCATCTTAGCCAATTATCTTTTTTGTACCAATGTTGTTGTTTTCTTATGGTAGTCATTTCTTTTTGTTAAAATTAAATTTTTAAAATTTTTTTTATTATAAAAAATTTTTCACTAAAATTTCTAAAATTTTTTAACTATAAATTTGTAATTTTTTTAAATTAAATGTTAAACATTTTATTTATAATTTTTTAAATATTTTTTTAAAAATAATAATTTTTGTTATTTATTTAATTAATTTAAAATTTTCTTTATAATTGTTTAAACTGTTTTCATGATTTTCTTTTAATTATAATTTCTTTCTATGTATTTTTTTAATAATTTTAGTTTTGACACTAATTTTCACGGTTGTTTGCAAGCAAAAGGAAAATTATTTTATAATTTCTGCGTTTTTTCTCTATATTTCAGTTAAAAGCCCCAAAAAATAATAATGAAAATGAAATTATTATAAAAGAAAGCTTTTGTTTTTCAAATGTAAAAATGCGATTTTTCTTTTAATAAACACGCTTGAAAAGCAGAAGTTAAGTTTTTCCACGAACCGCACGTTGTAAAATCCAAATCAGAACTAAACGCATAATCAGACAGTAACGCTTTAGCTGGCAAGTCTTTTGGTTAAATTGAGGAGTTGTTTGAGAAAAATTTTAAAAAAATATATAAAAAATAAAAGAAATATACCATGGAATAACAGTAATGATATGATGATGATGATAATAATGAGAAAGAAACTAAAGTGAAGTACTAGAGCATACTTCCATGGCAGCATTAATATCAGCAAGTAGCAGCAGCAGCTTTGGTCTTTTGGTATCTTTCATTCATTCATACTTGCTTTTCACTTTTTAAACCATATAAAGTACAAAAACAACAACAAAATTTACTCAACCTTTCATTTTATTTTACTAAAACTAAAGTTTGTTTTTTTTTTTGTTTTAAAATAATTTTTCGTTGTTGTTTTTCTTCTCTTATTACTTCTTGTTTTATTATTTTCTTTTGATTAAAAAAAAATAAAACTTAAATTTAATTAACTTAATCGTTGGCTTTGTTGTTGTTGTTGCCTTTTGTCTTCTCAAAACAGCCAAACCATCCATCCATCCATCTATCCACACACTAACCATTTGAAAAGACAAGTGTAAACATCAGTTGCGCATGCGCAAATATATAAATTGTTTTCAATATTGATTGCACTATGGGTTATACATATAAAAAGGATTTGTTTATATGATTAGTCGGCTGTTAGATAAAATTGTGAACACTTAACTTTGTAAAAGTATTTTTCATCAATAATAATTTTTTCAAACATTTCATCATCAAGAAGATGCTTTATTAGAGTATTATATTTTATTAAGAACGTTTGTTTACAAAAAAGCTTTTTTAAGAAATTTACATATATTTTTCCAAACATTTTTATTCATTTTTAATATTTAGTCAAAAAGCTCTTTTTTAAACATTCTTTAAAAAAATCTATTTTTTTAAACTGTCGCTAAAAAGCTTTTGATTAAAGTTTTGTCAAAAAAGCTTTTTTTAAGCTTTCACCGAAAAAACAATTTGTAAACTTTAGTCAAAAATTTTTTTTTTTTAAATTTTTGCCGAAAAGCTCTGTTTGTCAAAAAGCTCTTTTTCAAACACTCTCCAAAAAGCTTTCACCGAAAAAAGAAATTTTTAAACTTTTGTCATAAAACTATTTTTTAAATTTTTGCTAAAAAGCTCTATTTGAAATACTTTGGTCAAAAAACGCCTTTTAAAACTTTTGACAAAAAAGCTTAAAAGCTTGAAAAACTTTCGCTAAATAAGCCCTTTTTTCTTTCCTAAAAAAGTTGAATCTTTTTTAATATTTGTAAAATGCTAAAACTTTTTTCAAAAAACGATTTTATTAATTTTCGTCAAAAAAGCTCTTTTTTAATTTTCGACAAAAAAGCTCTTTTTTAATTATTGTTAAAAATAGCTTGCTATAAACTTTTGTCCATAAAAACTTTTTTAACTTTCGCCAAGGAAAATTAAAAAAATGTTTTTTTAATTATCATCGAAAAAGCTTTTTTATAAACTATCGTCAAAAGAGCTTTTGTTAAAACTTTCATAAAAAGGTTATCTTTTATACTTTCGTCCAAAAACTCCATTTAAACTTTTGTGCAAAAAGCTCTTTTTTAAATTTCTGTCTAAAAAGCTTCCGTTAAAAAAAAAACAGTTTTTTATACTTTCGTCAAAGAGGCTCTTTTTTTGCATAAATCTATTTACAAAGAGACCACTTTTTAACAAATTCTTTAAGGAAATTTTTATATAAAAAAGCTGTTTCAAAAGGTTATTTTCCGGAAAAAGCTTATATACAAAAGAAAGAAATATCCTAGAGATAAGTAGTTTCCCGATAACAATGACTTTCTTCGCAAAAGCTTCATCTATTTGTAAATGGTATTTTAAAAAATTTTAACGACATAAAATTTTAAGCGAAAATAATTAAAAAGCTTTCAGTAAAAAAGTGTAAAAATGTCGCAAATTTTTAATATCAAACAGCTAAAAGTTTTATTGACAAAATTAATTTTACCAAAACAAGTTTTGTAGCAAAACAGGCTTTTATGTTTACAAAAGTTTTTAAAAACATCTTTTTATAGAAAAAGCTTTCTAAAAAAAATTCATTTTACGAAAGCTTTCTGATTGAAAACTTATTTGAAAAAAGGTTTTCCTTAAAAAAGCTTCATGTTTCTTAAAAAGCGTTTTTTCATAAAAGCTTTCTTTAGCTAACAAAAGCTTTTCTTCAAAAAAAAGCTTCATCTTTTCTTTTAAGAGTTTTTTATGTAATTATCTTAAATAAAATATATTTTAGCGAAAATAACATTATTTTCCAAAAAAGTTTCTTTTTTTAAAAGCTCAATTTTAAAGAAAGCTTTCCGTTTGCAATTTCTTTTTTGCTGAAAAGGTTTAAAAAACCTGTGTTTCTTAGAAAATTGTTTTTAATTTCAAGAAAGCTTTTTTAGCTTTTTACAATTATCTTCAAATTCTTCAAAAAAGCTTTTCTTAGCAAAATATGTATAAAAATTTATCGAACATTATAACTAAATGTCAAGGTTATCAGCACCAACCAGAAAACGTTACTTTAAGTTTGCGAACACATTCTCAAAATATATTCACAAACTTTGAATGTTGTTTGTGTGAACACACATACTAGAATCGAGAAAGCTTTAAGTATTTTGTTATTGTTACAAAATAAACACATTTAATCAAACGTTAAATTTGAGTAGTTTTATTAAATAATTCAACTGCAAAATTTATAGAACATTCCTTAGCTTACAAGCCCATAGTGCAATTTTAAACAATTAAATAAACTGTTTTTTTTGGTGTTGCTCTCAAAAAGTGTTTGTAGCAAAATTTAAGTTTTTTCTTTTAATATCAGCTTTTTTACTTTTTTTTTTCAAAATTTTCTCTCTTAACCATAGTGCAAACTCTACTCTATTATTCTCAATTGTTTTAAATGTTTTTACATCTGTGTAATTTGATTTTTTTATTATTTCATTTTATTTAGTATTTAGTGTTTTTATTTCTTTTATTGGTCTACTATATGTTGTTGTTTTTTGATATTTCAACAAGTTGCTGAGTGTTTTTTTCGTCGATTTTGTATTTGAATTTTTCCAAGTGTTGGTGATTTATAGCTGTTGTGTGGTGGCTGTATGGCTGTTGCTGGAAAAGCTGTTTTCCTGGATTTTTATGGACACCTAACAATTAATATGTTGTGTTGATATTTACTTTATTAAGCTCTAAATTTTCATGCCATTGAACTTGTTGTCTACCAAAGAAACATAGCAACAACAGCAATAAACAGAGATAAAACTACGCGATCTGGTTTTAGTTTTTCTCAAACATGCCTTTGGGGGGAAATTACATTTTAATGATTTTTTTGTTGTTTTTTTTGTGTTTTTATGGTATTGAAATCAATTATTTATTAAAGATTTGGAGTGGACAACCTTAGGGGCCTTGTTGGCTAGTTTTTTAGGGGAATTTCGGAAGTTTTATGTGAAAAATCTTTAAAAGATATTTGAAATAGTGATGCATTTTTAACATAAGTTGTAATTTATAGAAAGCTTAAATGTGTTTGAAACATTTCCTTTAAAATAAAAAGAAAACAAAAGACTTAGGACACATACTTGACTAGAAAACTATAAAACTCGCAAAACTTTCGAAATTTTATTTAAAGTTTACAAATTTGCGTAAAACGTTTCTTTTTAAAGAAAATTTCTAAAAATTTGCAAAGTGATGGGAATAGAAAACAAAAGACTTAAGACACATACTTAATTTTTTCTAAAAAAACTATAAAACTGATAAAAATATCTAAATTTTAATTAAAGTTTATAAATTTGTATAAAACATTTGCTTTTGAACAAAATTTCTTTAAATTTGGCAAAAGAAAAAAAAGAGGAAAACAAAAGACTTAAGACACATACTTGCCTAGAAAACTATAAAACTGCCAAACTCTCTAAATTGTATTTAAAGTATACAAATTTGTGTAACACATTTCCTTTAAAAGAAAATTTCTAAAAATTTGCAAACCAATGGGAAAAGAAAACAAAAGACTTAAGACACATACTTAATTTTTTCTAAAAAAAAACTATAAAACTGATAAAAATCTTTAAATTTTATTTAAACTTTATAAATTTGTATAAAACATTTGCTTTTGAACAAAATTTCTTGAAATTTGGCAAAAGATAAAAAAGAAGAAAACAAAAGACTTAAGAGACATACTTAATTTTGCCTAAAAACGGATAAAACTTTTAATTTTATTAAAAATGTATAAATTTGTATAAAACATTTCCTTTCAAACTAAATTTTTTAAAAATATTGCAAACCAAAAGGAAAATAAAACAAAAGACTTAAGACCCATACTTCAAATTGCCTAAACTCTTAAAAATCTTGAAATTTTTATAACAAATGTATAATAATTTAATCAGCTTAATTGTTTAAAAAGAAATATAAGCTTTTTTCTTTTGTTACTTTTTAATCAATTAAATGATTTTAATCAACATTATCTAGCCGCAAACAACATTACTTAATTGTTGTTTGCTTTGGGAGAAAAGTTGTATATTTGCTTAAATGTTGGTAGACAAGACGAAGAACATTATAAATATCCGCCAAATAAAATGTAAATAAAAAAAACATTAAACATATTTTTTGGATTTCTTATTTTTTTTGTAAAAAAAATATATAATCACAAATAACAACAGAATCACTTTAATATGAGTAATGAATAACTATAAAAATACTTTCACTTGGAATGGTGGTTTTTCTTCCGTCTTCCCAAAAAAAAAGAAACACATTTAACAACAAATCTTAATTGTTTAACACAACCATCATGGTGATGATGATAACCATAATGGTTGTATGGAGTTGAGGTTGCTAGTGGTTGGAGGTGTCATAAGCTGAGGCTTTAAACATATTAATGTAATGTTTATGGAAACATGTAATAAAATGGTTAGTGTTGTTGTCAAAGAAATTGACTTTGGTAGAAATGCTATAATTGATAAAGGAAATGTAATGTTTTTTTTTTTTTTTTGTTAAAATATGTTTTGAAATGCATAAATTCCCAGCAATTTATTGGAATTTTTGTAATAAACTAATATTTTTCAAAAATTTATTGTATTTATTCACTAGATCGTAATACATAATTGTTTTAAAATTTTGACTTTGACACTTTTTAAGGTGAGGACTGATATGGCTACTTAGGACAATAATGAGTATTTTGATTGAATTTTAATAATTTATATTGCTGCGTTTTAACATGAGCGGGTTTTACACAGACAGACCGACATAGCAAAATCTACTTAGAATTTCAGTAAATATTTATGAGAGACCCATAAATATTTCTCAATATTAGGTTTTTCTCATTATAAGTTCTAATAAAGTTGTATAAACAGCTTTTTCGATTACCGAAAGTTTATTTCCAAACGGAGAGATTTTTCAATATAACAGATCTTTTCAACGGTTTTTATTACTACTAAAAGTTTTTACACAAAAAAGCTTTTTTTAAATAAGAGCTTTATACTAAGAAAAGCTTTTAATACAAAAGCATATAATCAATCAAAGCAAATAATCAAAAATAACAAAATAGCTCCTATTAGCTAATGAATAAAGCAAGCTGAAGCTTTTTTCAGGTTCTAATATGTTTTGTAAAAAAGCTATTACGATTGATGGACTTTTATCTACACAATAAGTTTTCTTAAAACAAATCTTTTTTATGATTTTTCCGGCAAATAAAAGATTTTATTAAAAAAAACTTTTTTCTTAAAATAAGACCCAAAATAAAGGTCCAAATTAAAGCTTTTTTCATGTTCTAAAAAGCTTTTAATTAGAATTTTATACTAAGGAAAGCTTTTTACACAAAAGAAGCTTAAAAAATAATCAAAAACAACAAAAAAGCTCCTATTAACTAATGAATAAAGCAAGTTGCTAAATAAAGCTTTTTTCAGGTTCTAATATGTTTTATAATTTTTCGCTTGATGCACTTTTATTTACACAATAAGTTTTCTTTTTTCTTAAAATACATCTTTTTATGATTTTCCCTGCAAATAAAAGTTTTCATTATAAAAGCTTTTTTCATAATAAAGAATAAAGATTCAAAATAAAGCTTTTTTCATGTTTTATAAAAGGATTTTTCGATTGATGAACATTTATTTACAAAAATAAGAGATTTTTAATAAAAAGATCTCTTCCACAGTTTTTATTACAAATAAAAGTTTTTACACAAAAAAGCTTTTTTTAAATAAGAGTCTTATACTAAGAAAAGTTTCCTTTACAAAAGCAGCTTAAAAAATAGCCAAAAAAGCTCCTCTTTACTAATGAATAAAACAAGCTGCAAAATAAAGCTTTTTTCAGGTTCTATTTAATATATTTTATAAAAAGCTTTTTCAATTGATGGACATACGATTTTCCTTGCAAATAAAAGTTTTTATTTACAAAAGCTTTTTTCTTAAAATAAGAGTGAGTGAATAAAGATCCAAAGCTTTTGTCGTGTTCTAAGATGTTTTATAAAAAGCTTTTTCGATTAATGCATATTAATTTACACAATATGATTTTTTTCTTAAAACAAGAATTTTTTTACAATTTTCGTTGCAAATAAAAGTTTTTGTTAAAAAAAACGTTTTGTGAGTAAGAGTTTTATACTAAAAATCAGCTTAAAAACAGTAAAACATAAAAATAGTCCCTTTTCACTAATGAGTAAAGCTCCAAAATAAAGCTTTTTCGTAAAATCAATTTTTTAACAATGAAGTTCCTTTTTAAGGAAAGTTTACAAAACTATAGATTATCCTCGCAAAAGCTTTTTGTCTTCGATGAAACCTGTTTAATATAATTAAAAATTAAGGGAAGGATCGACAAATTTAAAAGCTTTTTGTCTTCTATTAACCTTTTTTAATATAATTAAAAATTAAGGAATCAATTGAAAAATCTAAAAGAATTTAAAATTTATTGAATATATTATATTATTAATATGAAATATAATCTCGTAATCCGAAGTCCTCGAAGTAAACTGTGGAGTTTTTTATAAAATTTATGTTTAGTTTTTATTTTTGAATACGGAATTTTAATAGTAAATTGACTTTAAAGAAGCTTTTTTCAAAGCTTTTTTTATAAAACATGTTAAAAAGTTGGGTGAAAACTTTAATTTCATTGTTTTTTATATGGGAATTTTTTATATGGTATTGACTCGAAAAAGCTCTTCTTCTCTAAGGCTTCAAAAAAGTTGTTTCTTCAAAAGAGCTTTTTACATGACAATATAAACTTTTTGCCATTAAACTGGTTAAAAAGTTGGTTGAAAATTAGAATTTCAATGAAGAAGTTTAGATAAAGCTAAGTAAATTGTTTTCAAAAAATTCTTCCTCTCAAAGCTTACAAAAAAGCTTTTTCCACAAAAGAGTTTTTTTTTTTTTTTGCAAAAGGAGAAATTTAGAATTGTACAGAAACTTTCTTTAAAAAAGGAGAGAAAAAATGGGTTTGTTGTAGAATAAATTTTCTTAATTATAAAAAAGCTTTTTCTCACAAATCGTATTAAACGATTTAAAAGACTTTTCTTCTATGGTAGAGTAGTTTTCTAAAGAGTAGTTTTCTAAAGAAATCTCTTTCTCTAAAAAGAAAATTTTGAATTAAATTTTTTCTTATATAAAGCTCTTTAACTAACTTTATAGTGAGGTCGTTAACATTATAGGAAATCAATTATGTATTATATCAATGATTACATATTGAAATAACATAAATAATATTTTGCATCAAAGCTTTTTATCACAAATCGGATTAAACAATGTCCGATTTCTGTCATACATATTTATATTTAAATACTTTTCTCCTATAATGGTAGAGTAGTTTTCAAAAGAAAGCTCTTTCTCTAAAAAGAAAATTTTGAAATAAATGTTTCTTATATATAAAGCTTTTTGACACATTAACTAACTTTATAGTGAGTTCGTTAACATTATAGAAAATCAACTATGTATTATATCAATGATTAAATATTGAAGTAACATAAATAATATTTTGCATCAAAATATTATCATTATAACAAATAAACTTTTCTTCCAGATTAGAGTTATGTTCGACTTAACTATCTCATATTCAAACAAAAGTCAGTTAATAGATGACAACATGTCATCACCTATAAATATTGATTGATATCTTAAAAATAAATCTTTACACTTAAATTCACTTAAAAATTTATTTTGATATTCATTTATATATTTATATTTATATATAACACCATTTCTACTTACAATCTAATTCATCGAAAAATTTCGCTTCTTTGGGTAAATCCTTTTGTATGGCCTCTTTTAATTTCGGATCAATGGCCTCATTATACACATTATTATAATTAACAGAAGCATTAACTGCTAGTGTCAACGTTAGCAAAGACAACAACCATAATGTAAAGAAATTTCTATTCTGTGATAGTACTGCACAATAAGTTCTAAGCATAATGGTAAAAATTTTTATTACAAAAAAACACTTAAAACACTTTTATTTTGGGAATTTAAAAATATATTATTATTTTTGTTTTAATAACAATTGAAACATATTTTATTTATATTTAAAACTTTGTTAATATGTTATGCGTTTGATTTTTTTTATTGAAATTTTGGGATTTTTTTTAAACTATTGATTAATTTCAAACTAATTTGTTGTTTTTTGACCGGTATTTTTCTGCTTAGTATTTTATTTATTTCTTTTTTTTATAAAAATTTTTTGTATTTTTTTTTTGTTTTATTTAAAAAATTTATATTTTATTAAACCACTAAACACTTTGAATACACAAAATGTGGACAATTTTTATTAAAATTTTTAATAAATTTATTTTCTATAAACAAAACTATTATTATGCACCAACAGCAACAACATTAACAATATTCGCGTTTTCGTTAAAAGCTTGAGCACAACAACAATAATGTTTTTTTGTTAATATATCGTCGTAAATTTTCGTAAAATTTTATTTTTGTCACATTTAGTTGTGATCGTTTTGCTGGTGCACTACTCCGTTTAATTGATCCGTATGTGTTTTTGCGTCAAAATACCTAATAACACTATAACAGCCATTCAAAATCATGGACTCTTTACAGAGCTTCGACATAAATTTCATACAAAACGTCTGTCCGTCCGTCTATCCATCTGTCTGTCTGTCTCTTCTCTATACGTATAATTCGTATAAAATTTGGTTGTTTTGGTTTAAAGCTTGGCTTAATATATTACCAATCTTATGAATAGTATTACTACATGTGTGTTTATGTGATTGTATGCATATATGCGGTAATATTCATACGCGTATGTCAGTACGAACGTCTGTCTGTCTGTCTGTTGTGTGTTTTTATGTTTGTGTATAAACAACAGCAGATCAAGTCAAATGAAATCGAAAGTGAATAATAATAATAAAAAAAAATTAACAAAAAAAAAAAAAAAAAAACAGATACACAAACTCAATCGTTAAATAAAAATTGAGTAAATTTACTGCTGGTTGCATTGAAGTTTAAAGCGTTCGTTGTTCGTCATTGTCGTAATAAGTTGTGTATATTGTGGCTCTCATTAAAATTTTGTACAAATGCGAGGGTGGTTTAAACAAGTTTGGCAAAGTTTTTAAATTTAACTTTGTTGTCTTGTAAGGAAATGTTTCAACTCTTTTTATCTTTATTTAACCAATATTTTCCAATCACCCTCGTTTAACTCATGTTTAACATTAGACCGGCTTTTACTGCTCTTAGTAAAAACTATTTCTATTTAAAAACTATATCAATCTTTAACTAAAACTCAAATTTACTTTGTTCAGATAACTGCCAGTTTATGTTAACAACCATTCATGCTATATTTCTCTATTGGTAAACTGTAATGAGAGTATTGTGTTTTTGACTTCTCTATATTGTTTACAAAAATTTTGTAATTAATTTTTTATTAATAAATTCGTTAAGACAACTAACTCTCTTTTATGGTTACTTCCTATTTTAGTTATATTGTCATTGGCGGTAATAGATCTTTGTGTTGTGATGCACATATGTATTGGGGGAATTCCATAATTAAATGAAGGTCGTTAAATTGTAGACAAAATTAACAAGATTTTGTTTGTTTATTTACAGTTAATTGTATTGACAAATGTATTAAAAAAATAATAATTTATTTGAAAAAATTATTAACACCCTCTTTTGGTGTCATTTAATAAAAAGTTTATAATAATTTTTAATTTCATTTTTATTTAATGTAATCAATTTTTTTTAATAAAAGTTGAAGAACATCAGAAGAGGGAAACAATATGAAAAAACTTTCTGGTTAACAATCTTGTGGCAAAGGGGTGGCTTTAGTGCTGGCTGCGGTTTTTGTCATGCCAATAGATACCGCAAATCCTATTTTCAAATTGTAAATCTTTTCTTTCCCCGTATCCCCTATTCTTCACTTTCAAGGTGGTTGATACCGAGAACCTGAATTGCTAAATAGTAGTATAAAGGATTGGTCGCTTACAGCTCCATTACTCTTTACTCTAAAGGCACTGCATTGATCGCCTTGCCTATGAAGCAAATAAAACAACAACTAAAAGGACCTTTTAGATCACTCCCTAGCGACCCTGTAGCAGTTAGTTTGTTACCCAGCAGAAACATGGTAAAGACTTGTACTTAATCAACAACTTACTTTTTAATTAGTACTAAACACCCTCTGTATTACTTAGATGGAGTCTAGTAATGACTTACAAATAATGTATTATGTAAGTACTTACTTTTTAATTTAGACAATTTTTTGCGAGAACTAATAATAGATACAATAAACGTATTCTGGTTGAAAATATATTTCTCAAAAACAAAATTACTTAAATTACTCCCTGTTTGTAAGCGAGCGTAGTAAGAACTTGCATCCGATGTCATCATTAAATAATGACTTCAAATGCAATTGAGAAAGTAAATTTTAGCAGTTTAGACCCTCTGCAATGTTAGTAGTTAGTTAGTTAGTTAGTTAGTTAGTTAGTTAGTTAGTTAGTTAGTTAGTTAGTTAGTTAGTTAGTTAGTTAGTTAGTTAGTTAGTTAGTTAGTTAGTTAGTTAGTTAGTTAGTTAGTTAGTTAGTTAGTTAGTTAGTTAGTTAGTTAGTTAGTTAGTTAGTTAGTTAGTTAGTTAGTTAGTTAGTTAGTTAGTTAGTTAGTTCGTTAGTTAGTTAGTTAGTTAGTTAGTTAGTTAGTTAGTTAGTTAGTTAGTTAGTTAGTTAGTTAGTTAGTTCGTTCGTTCGTTCGTTCGTTCGTTCGTTCGTTCGTTCGTTCGTTCTTCGTTCGTTCGTTCGTTCGTTCGTTCGTTAGTTCGTTCGTTCGTTCGTTCGTTTTCGTTCGTTCGTTTCGTTCGTTCGTTCGTTCGTTCGTTCGTTCGTTCGTTCGTTCGTTCGTTCGTTCGTTCGTTCGTTCGTTCGTTCGTTCGTTCGTTCGTTTCGTTCGTTCGTTCGTTCGTTCGTTCGTTCGTTCGTTCGTTCGTTCGTTCGTTCGTTCGTTCGTTCGTTCGTTCGTTCGTTCGTTTCGTTCGTTCGTTCGTTCGTTCGTTCGTTCGTTCGTTCGTTTCGTTCGTTCGTTCGTTCGTTCGTTCGTTCGTTCGTTTCGTTCGTTCGTTTCGTTCGTTCGTTCGTTCGTTCGTTCGTTCGTTCGTTCGTTTTCGTTCGTTCGTTCGTTCGTTCGTTCGTTCGTTCGTTCGTTGTCGTTCGTTCGTTCGTTTCGTTCGTTCGTTCGTTCGTTCGTACTGGAGCACTACTAGAACACTTCAATTATTAAAAAATGGAAGTAAGTTAAATCAAGTGGGAATGTATAGTCCGTCGACTGTATGATACCCTGCACCAGTGTGATGTTATCCCAACTTCCAAATAAGCGAAAAAGAAGTGTAATTTACTCCATGGAAGTAATGATTTCATACAGGCTTACCATAGGAAGGATATCCTTTTTTTTTTCATTCAGAATTCACGACTGAATTCACGACGATTCTGAAGCCATTCTCAAAAAGTTATTTTTATGCTCCTTTTTTGGAAGTTATTTGGAAGTAAAATTGCAGTATATATTGATCATCAAGTTTTTTTTTTTGAAGGCCTAGGCTCAAAAGATTCCTAATCATTACGAAAAGCCGGCAGCATCATTTAGACTTGTATAAAACAAAGTCTTGCTGATGTAGAGATACTAGAACATTTAACAGAATTATAGGCTCAAAAGCCCTATTTGGGGGGAACGTTTGTGTTGGGCAAGGTGAAATAATGAACCGATTTTAACCATTTTCAATACGATTCGTTATTGGGTCTAAATTCAATGCAAAATTTCATAAAATTTTCTTGAAATTTGATTACAAGGTTAATATGGAAGGACAGACGGACAGATACCTGGTGCTATTACCCACATAGCATCAGGTATCTGTTTGGCCACTTTTTAGGTTCCATGAAAATTCCAAAAATTAGTTATTATTGAGAATACTTAGTTCAAAAATCGTTGGCCCTAACAGAAAACTCGTCTTATGCATTTTCAAGTGACAATATTAATATCAACAACTTCAAAAAAATCCAAGCAAATTACACTTAGAAACTCGTTTGTTATTTGGCCTTGTGATGATCACCATCGACCACTTGATTTGATTGCACTATAATCAACTGTAAACAACAACAGCAATTGTCAAATAGTTGTCACTCATCATAATGTGTTCATTCACCGTTTTAACAAAGTGTGAATAATCTTTAAAGTGACAAAAAAAAACTCTTTTAAGCTAAAAGCCACAAATGACCAACAAAACTAAGGCAAAAGCGAGCAACGAAGTATTGCATAATTAGATACTCAACCATTGTATATTTATGTTAACGATATAAATACATACAAATAAATAAAAGGGGCATAGTATTCATCATTAATGCCGTAAGGTATCTTCAAAGTAAAAAGTAGTGCCCAATTTTTTTTTTTTATGTTTAAATGTCAATGACTAATATGGATTTTTTGTTGGAAAAGTAAAAGAATTGATATATAATGATTTTGTGTTTCTGTTAATCATCGCAAACTAGTTTAAAAGTGTCGTTGATAATTAAGTCAAGGTTAAATTTAAATTACCATTAATGATTAGAGTGCATTTCTGAAACGACATTTTTGAAAAATTTCAAGTTAATTATCCACTTATGAAATATTTATGTTTCTTATCTTGTGAATAAATACATTTCATTCATTAACAAGAATTTCATTTTATGTCATGTCCCATATTACGTTTTCTCAGTCAATTCCATCCATCACTTGTCATTTTTGACAGTTATACTAGAAATTTTTAAAAAAAGAGTCACCGTAAGTCAGCTCAATCAACAAGTACTTGTAGCTGGTAAATTTTTAACTAAAATTTTGTAAAATTGCATAACTTTAAATAAGTTGCTGTGGCTGGCAACGCATTGTAACTGTGTTAATATATGAGTTTATGTGCAAAAGAAAAACAAAAAAAGAAAAAAACTAAATAAATAAACATAAATAAATTATAGTTTTTTTATTATTTTTCTTATTACTCGTAAATATTATAATTTCACGTGTGTGTGTTTGTCGTCTTACTTAGTCACTTAACTACTCACTTGGTATTTTATTATTGCGTTACAGTGCTAAACTGTATACGTTTTAAGCAAAAAGAAACACAATGAAATTTTTATGTTAAATCAATTGTATTTAAAGGTATATTTAGGCTGGCAAGTTTAACCCTTTTGGAGCACCCTCTAAATATTTTCATAGAAGGTTTATTTCAAAGTTTTCTTTAGAGATTTGTTCCATAAATAGAAAGAATTTATCGCGAATTTTCATTGAATAAGGATTTTGTCATGAATTTTAAATGGAGACTTTAGAGCGAATGTTTCGTGAAAATAATAATTTAGAAAGAATCTTTTTTTTGTGAATTTTTACAAATTTTCTTTAGATAGAAAATTTTTCGCGAATATTCTATAATCTGAAAATTTTTACAGAATTTGAAAAAGTTAATTTTTTTATGAAAAAAATCTAGAATTTTTTAGTTTTATTTAAATTTTTCTAAAAATAGAGAATTTATCCGAAATTTATTTTACAAATAAAGAATTGATCGCGAATTACCTAGAATTACAAAATTGATCGATAATTTTTTATAAATTTATAATAATTTAGAAATAATCGTTTTTATGAATATGGAATTTATTGAAATTTTTCTATTAATATCAATTTTTCCAAATTTTCCTTAGATAGAGAATTATTCACGAATTTTCTATAATCTGAAAATTTTTACAGAATTTGAAATAGTTAATTTTTTTTTGAAAAAAATTTAGAATTTTTTTAATTTATTGAAATTTTTTAAAAATAGAGAATTTATCGGGAATTTCTTTTATAAATAGAGAATTTATCGCGAATTTTCTAAAATTGGAAAATTTATCAAAAAATTTTTATATATTTATTGATTTTTTTTTTTATAAATTTTCCTTAAGTAGACAATTTATCTCGAATTTTTTATAAACCTAGAATATATGAAGAATTTTCAACGAATAGAGAACGAATTTATCGCGAACTTTGTATAAAGAGATAATTTATTGAGAATTTTCTTAAACTAGAGAATTTATCGCGAATTATATTTGTACATTTTTCGAGAAATTTTCTTGAAATATAGAATTTTTCTATAAAAAGATATTTTATCACGAATTTTTTCTAAACAAAGAATATCACGATAATTTTCTAAAACCAGATAATTTTCCTTAAGTAGACAATTTATATCGAATTTTTTATAAACCTAGAATATATGAAGAATTTTCAATGAATAGAGAATTTATCGCGAACTTTGTATAAATAGATAATTTATCGAGAATTTTCTTAAACTAGAGAATTTATCGTGAATTATCTTTGTCTAGAGAATTTATTAAAACATTTTCTTTGCATAAAAATTAAATCGCGAATGTTCCATGAACATAAAATTTTTCGAGAATTTTCTCTAAATAGAGATTTTTTCACGAATTTTCTTTCCATTAACATTTATCAGAATTTCTAGTGAATTTTCTCTAAAAAGAGAATTTGTCATGATTTTTTTTTTTAAACGAGAATGAAAAGAGAATTTATCGCGAACTTTGTATAAATATAGAAATTATCAAACTTTGTATGTAAATAGAGAATTTATTGGTAATTTTCTAAAAAAAAGAATTTCATTTTAACGAGAACTTATCGCGAATTTTCGCATAAAGAATTTGTAGACAAGTTTTAAAAGAAAGAATTTATCTTGAATTTTTTTTAAGAAAAAATTTTGTACGAACATAAAGAATTTATCAAACATGTTCTTTAAATACATATTTAATTGCAAATTTTCTTTGAAAATAGAATTTATCGCGAATTTTCTTTGAAAAGAGAATTTATTGCGATTTTCATATGAATAGAAAATTTTCTAAAAATAAAGAATTTAACAAACATATTTTAAAAATAGAGATTTTATCGAAAATTTTCTTTAAGTAGAGAATTTATCACTTGTTTTCTATAAACAAAGAATTTATCGCGAATATTCTTTGAAAAAAAAAATTATCTTTGTATGAATAGAAAAATTGCTAAAAATATATTTATTAAAAAATGAAGATGTTTTCGAAGATTTTTTTAAAGTAGAGAATTCGCTTTCTATAAACAAAGAATTTATCGCGAATTTTCTAAGAAAAGATAATTTTGTCGAGTTTTATAGTTATCTTAAACTAGAGAATCTATCGAACATATTATATTAATAGAACATTAATGTAAAATTCCTAAGACCACTTTAAATATTTAAATAATAAAAAAGTCTTCGAATTAATTCATTTGAATTCATCGCGAATTTACTTAAACTAAAGAACTAATCATCATTTTTTAAGAATTTTGAGAAAATTTTAAATATTTAATTAATGAGAAAGTCTACTGAAGCTGTAAAAATTTCTGTTAACTTAAATTAACCCTTTATATTATTCTTCAAGACCCCTTTTGACCCTAAAAGGGTTAATAAACTATAACTTAACTACACTTTAACACATAACGGCTAATAAGAGAAATTTAAAATAACACGAAAAAAAAGAGAAGCAAAAGATTGAGTGATAAAATGAAACTACAAAAACAATACGTAACAACAAACAAAACTTAAACATTACTTTAAGTGGTGACCAGGTGATTGTGCCAGTTTCCTAATTTCAACTTCTAAAATTGGCAGACTTTTAAGGCCAAATGACATAAGTTTTGTTTATTGTTTGCTTTTTTTCTGATTAATTATTTTCCCTTACTTCTTCGTTTGTTTTGGACACGTACTTTTTAAACTTTTAAGTTTAAACTAGTAGTAGGCCTTTTTTTTAAAAAAAAAACAGTTAACACTTTTATTTTTCTTCCACTTTGACAATTATGTTTGATTAAACAGCTTGTTATGATATTTACGAAAGAAACTAATTGTAGATAATTGCCAGCGCAAGAGGAAAAGAGCTACAAATGTTTGAATTACAAAAGTGTTAAAAAGTTAAATTATTTAATGTTAGCAATATTTGCTTAACGTAGTTAGTGTAATAATAATTTTCAAGGTTATTTATTTAATAATTAGCAGAGAACTTCAATTGGGTCACCATTAACCCTAAAGCTCTGGCACTTTAAATGGCCAAGTTTTATATACAAAATTGTTTTTGGTAAATAATTGCTTAATATTTTTTCTTATAAATAAAACAATGTAAATAAATTTTTTAAATATTTATAATTTATTTATAAAATAGATTTAACTAACTCCAAATATCTGTTAACATTTGCACAATTTCCTTTAATACTAAAATTAACTTACAAACTAACTGGGGAAAAATAATAATTAGGATTTGTTTTACTAAGAAAATTTCTAAATTGCATTACGCACTAAAACCTCTTGTATCCATTTGCTAGTCTTCTGCACATTATGATAAATACCAGGCTGATGATCAACGCCACAACCAAAACCGGCACTGGTAATGCCAACCAAAACAAAACGACCTGGGGGGGAACAGGAAACAAAATATTAAAAAAGATTATTATAAACTATAATTAAGTTTATGTTCTACTTACCGCGTTCTTTTATGATCAATGGTCCACCTGAATCACCTGTTACAAATGAAATAAATTGTTATGTTTTATTTAATCTACAGCCTTAAAGTATACTTTTTAATATTTAGTAAATTTTACAGTTTACCACATACCCAAGCAAGCATCTTGATGGCCATCTGAGTGACCGGCACAAAACATTTCATTGAATAGTTCCACCTGGATTTGTTTGCTCTCATGCCAGCGTAAACATTCCAGAGAAGCTGGAAAGTTGAAGAGATTTTTGTCAATAAAAAGTTGTAGCTAAAACTAACAAAGAAGATCAAGGCAATGAATCGAGATGAATATAGAGAATTATAAAAAGACAATTTATCGAAAATTCTCCATAAAAAGACAATTTATCGAAAATTCTCTATAAAAAGAGAATTGATCGAAAATTCTCTATAAAAAGAGAATTGATCGAAAATTTTCTATAAAAAGAAAATTTATCGAAAATTCTCTATAAAAAAGAAAATTTATCGAAAATTCTCTATAAAAAGAGAATTTATCGAAAATTCTCTATAAAAAAGAGAAATTATCGACAATTCTCTATAAAAAGAGAATTTATCGAAAATCTCTATAAAAAAGGAGAATTTATCGAGAATTCTCTGTAAAAAGAGAAATTATCGAGAATTCTCTGTAAAAAGAGAATTGATCGAAAATTCTCTATAAATAGAGAATTTATCGAAAATTTCTATAAAAAGAGATTTTATCGAAAATTATCTAGAAAAAGAGATTTTATCGAAAATTCTCTATTAAAAGAGAATTTATCGAAAATTCTCTAGAAAAAGAGAATTTCTAGAAAATTCTCTAGAAAAAGAGAGTTTATCGAAAATTCTCTAGAAAAAGAGAATTTATCGAAAATTCTCTAGAAAAAGAGAATTTATCGAAAATTCTCTAGAAAAAGAGAATTTATAGAAAATTCTCTATAAAACGAGAATTTATCGAAAATTCTCTAGAAGAAGAGAATTTATTGAAAATTCTCAGTAAAAAGAGAATTTATCGAAAATTCTCTAGAAAAAGAGAATTTATCGAGAATTATCTGTAAAAAGAGAATTTATTGAGAATTCTCTGTAAAAAGAGAATTGATCGAAAATTCTCTTTAAATAGAGAATTTATCGAAAATTCTCTTTAAATAGAAAATTTATCGAAAATTTCTATAAAAAGAGAATTTATCGAAAATTCTCTATAAAAAGAGAATTTATCGAAAATTCTCTATAAAAAGAGAATTTATCGAAAATTCTCTATAAAAAGAGAATTTATCGAAAATTCTCTATAAAAAGAGAATTTATCGAAAATTCTCTATAAAAAGAGAATTTATCGAAATTTCTCTATAAAAAGAGAATTTGTCGAACATTGTTTAAAAAAAGAGAATTTATCGAAAATTTTTTAAAAAAAGCTTATCAAAAATTCTCTATAAAGAAAATTTATCGCATATTCTTCATAAAAAGAAAATTTATCGAAAATTTTCTATAAAAAGAAAATTTATGGAAAATTTTCTATAAAAAGGCAATTTATCGAAAATTCTCTATAAAAGACAATTTATCGAAAATTCTCTATAAAAGACAATTTATGGAAAATTCTCTATTTAAAGACAATTTATCGAAAATTCTCTATATAAAGATAATTTATCGAAAATTCTCTATATAAAGATAATTTATCGAAAATTCTCTATAAAAAGATAATTTATCGAAAATTCTCTATAAAAAGATAATTTATCGAAAATTCTCTATAAAAAGAGAATTCATCGAAAATTTTCTATATAAAGAGAATTAATCAAAAATTCTCTATAAAAAGAGATTTTATCGAATATTCTTTATAAAAAGAGAATTTATCGAATATTCTTTATAAAAAGAGAATTTATCGAAAATTCTGTATAAAAAGAGAATTTATCGAAAATTCTCTATAAAAAGGGAATTTATCGAAAATTCTCTATAAAAGAGAATTAAAATTGCAAATTTAAATTATCTATAAAAAGATAATTTATCGAAAATTCTCTATAAAAAGATAATTCATCGAAAATTCTCTATATAAAGAGAATTAATCAAAAATTCTCTATAAAAAAAGATTTTATCGAATATTCTTTATAAAAAGAGAATATATCGAATATTCTTTATAAAAAGAGAATTTATCGAAAATTCTGCATAAAAAGAGAATTTATCGAAAATTCTGTATAAAAAGAGAATTTATCGAAAATTCTCTATAAAAAGAGAATTTATTGAAAGTTCTCTTTAAAAAGAGAATTTATCGAAAATTCTCTATAAAAAGAGAATTTATTGAAAATTCTCTAAAAGAGAATTTATCGAAAGTTTTTTTATGAAAAAGAGAATCTACTGAAAATTAAATAAAGAGAAATTATGAAAATTTCTCTATAATTCTATTTTTTCAATTCTCAGTAAATTCTCTTTTTCATAGAAAATTTTCGATATATTTCTTTTTGGATAGAAATTGGTTGAATACTCTCCAAACTTACTTATTATTGGTACACTTGCCACCTGCAACATATTAGTGCCCGCTTGACCCAAACTAGCCTCTGTTTTACCCCAACCTGCCACTACGCCTTTACGACCAATCAAACGTATGGGATATACCGGAAGACAAATGGGTAAAATATGTTCGCTACAATAAATACAAAAGGAAAATCAATCTTACAACAATTTCATTTAAGCAAAAAATTTACAAAAGGCCCACCAAAGGTGCCCCACCTAAATCCAGTCGGTTTAGCCAATTTCAATAAAGCCAAATCATAACGATCCGGTTGCGTCATACGAAACTCAAATAAAGGATGTATAATTTTTTGTATGACATTATGCTTCTCAACAGGTAAAGGTTCTTGTGTTTGACCCAAATTTTGGGTATCTAATTCACCCAAATATACAGAAATATCCTGAAGACGTGCCTGCTGAACACAATGGGCAGCAGTGGCTACCATATTTTTAGAAACTAGAACACCACCACATTGATATTCGGCTATACGTATATGAGCCTGCCAGGGATATTCAGCAAAATGGGCTGGTCTGCCGCCTATGATGCGCTTTTGTAAGGTTTGTTGAAAGCTGCGTGCCAAGCCACATTCAGGCTATAATATACATCAGAAACATTAAACGTTTTGTAAACAATTTATTTGTGATAAAAATTCCTACCTTTAACAATAGTTCATTATCATCTCTTCTCCTTAAAAATACTCTTTTTGGCAGTGATGTTACTTTCTTGTTATATTCTACCAAAGCTGTATCTACTAGATTGGCCACCGGCGAAACATCTCCCTCAGCGGCTATGCAACAGGAAAATAACCATTTATTAGTGCCACAACCTCGGGCATGTTTGCCTCCTTGTAACCAACAGGAAAATGATAATTTACAGGGCCATACACCACCTTGATGTACACACTCCGAGGGTACACCCAATAAGGTATTTAAAATGTCTGTAAGAGAATGTAGTCATAAATATTGGAACAGTAAATGTTTGAGATACTACTTACTGCCCTTTACTGTTTGTGTGGCCAATGCTATGATCGTTAGATATAGTAGTCCAAAAATGAGTGTCACAGAATTCCATAAGTACATCGTTGTTTCTATACCAATTGGGGTTATCGTTGCTGCAGCATTTCTTATGAAAATTATTGCTCCCTTAATTAGGAGACAATATTTTGTGTCTTTGTACTTTTTTTATGTCAATGTGTCAATCTTTAAGTAGTTTTATCTAATAAGAATAGAAGAAAAGGGTTATGAATTTTGAGCGATTAAACTTCCACAATTTTTTCAAAGATTATATGAACATGCTTCCATGGATTTTGAAATCTGTACTGTGGCTTCGATCATAGAAAATTGCCTAAAATATTTCTATAAGATCTCTATAAAAGGGAATTTATCGAAGCTTCTCTAAAAAAGGAGAATTTATCGAAAATTTTCTATGAAAAGAGAATTTATCGAAACTTCTCTATAAAAAGAGAATTTATCGAATCTTCTCTATAGAAATAGAATTTATCGAAAATTGTCTATAAAAAGAGAATTTATTGAAAATTGTCTATAAAAAGAGAATTTATCGACAATTTTCTATAAAAAGAGAATTTATCGAAACTTCTCTATAAAAAGAGAATTTATCGAAAATTCTTTATAGAAATAGAATTTATCGAAAATTCTCTATAGAAAGAAATTTTATAGAAAATTGCCTATAAAAAGAGAATTTATCGAAAATTATGCTCTTTTGAGATTTTCAGAAAATACTACGAAGAACAATGTGGAATGGGGCTTCTATATCACAATCATACGATCAAAAATGTCCTTCCAACAAACTTTTTATGGAGAGTTTTCTCCTTTTTATAGAGAATTTTGGATAAATTCTCTTTTTATAGAGAATTTTGGATAAATTCTCTTTCTATAGAGAATTTTGGATAAATTCTCTTTCTATAGAGAATTTTCGATAAATTCTCTTTCTATAGAGAATTTTCGATAAATTCTCTTTCTATAGAGAATTTTCGATAAATTCTCTTTCTATAGAGAATTTTCGATAAATTCTCTTTCTATAGAGAATTTTCGATAAATTCCCTTTCTATAGAAAATTTTCGGGCTTTTATATCACAATCTTACGATCAAAAATGTCCTTCCAACAAACTTTTTATGGAGAGTTTTCTCCTTTTTATAGAGAATTTTCGATAAATTCTCTTTCTATAGAGAATTTTGGTTAAATTCTCTTTCTATAGAGAATTTTCGAGAAATTCTCTTTCTATAGAGAATTTTCGATAAATTCTCTTTCTATAGAGAATTTTCGATAAATTCTCTTTCTATAGAGAATTTTCGATAAATTCCCTTTCTATAGAAAATTTTCTGGCTTTTATATCACAATCTTACGATCAAAAATGTCCTTCCAACAAACTTTTTATGGAGAGTTTTCTCCTTTTTATAGAGAATTTTCGATAAATTCTCTTTCTATAGAGAATTTTGGTTAAATTCTCTTTCTATAGAGAATTTTCGATAAATTCTCTTTCTATAGAGAATTTTCGATAAATTCTCTTTCTATAGAGAATTTTCGATAAATTCTCTTTCTATAGAGAATTTTCGATAAATTATCTTTCTATAGAGAATTTTCGATAAATTATCTTTCTATAGACAATTTTCGATAAAATCTCTTTCTAAAGGCAATTTTCGATAAACTCTCTTTTTATGGAGAATTTTTGATAAATTCTCTTTTTTAGAGAATTTTCGAGGAATTTTCTTTTTATAGAGAATTTTCGAGAAATTCTCTTTTCTCTTTTTATAGAGAATTTTCGAGAAATTCTCTTTTCTCTTTTTGTAGAGAATTTTCGAGAAATTCTCTTTTTATAGAGAATTTTCGAGAAATTCTCTTTTTATAGAGAATTTTCGAGAAATTCTCTTTTCTCTTTTTATAGAGAATTTTCGAGAAATTCTCTTTTTATAGAGAATTTTCGAGAAATTCTCTTTCTATAGAGAATTTTCGAGAAATTCTCTTTCTATAGAGAATTTTCGATAAATTCTCTTTCTATAGAGAATTTTCGATAAATTCTCTTTCTATAGAGAATTTTCGAGAAATTCTCTTTCTGTAGAGAATTTTCGATAAATTCTCTTTCTATAGAGAATTTTCGAGAAATTCTATTTCTATAGAGAATTTTCGAGAAATTCTCTTTCTATAGAGAATTTTCGAGAAATTCTCTTTTTATAGAGAATTTTCGAGAAATTCTCTTTTAATAGAGAATTTTCGAGAAATTCTCTTTTAATAGAGAATTTTCGAGAAATTCTCTTTTTATAGAGAATTTTCGAGAAATTCTCTTTTTATAGAGAATTTTCGAGAAATTCTCTTTTTATAGAGAATTTTCGAGAAATTCTCTTTTTATAGAGAATTTTCGAGAAATTCTCTTTTTATAGAGAATTTTCGAGAAATTCTCTTTTTATAGAGAATTTTCGAGAAATTCTCTTTTTATAGAGAATTTTCGAGAAATTCTCTTTTTATAGAGAATTTTCGAGAAATTCTCTTTTTATAGAGAATTTTCAAGAAATTCTCTTTTTATAGAGAATTTTCGAGAAATTCTCTTTTTATAGAGAATTTTCGAGAAATTCTCTTTTTATAGAGAATTTTCGAGAATAGAGAATTTGCGAGAAATTCTCTTTTATAGAGAATTTTCGAGAAATTCTCTTTTTATAGAGAATTTTCGAGAAATTCTCTTTTTATAGAGAATTTTCGAGAAATTCTCTTTTTATAGAAAATTTTCGAGAAATTCTCTTTTTATAGAAAATTTTCGAGAAATTCTCTTTTTATAGGGAATTTTCGAGAAATTCGCTTTTAATAGAAAATGTTCGAGAAATTCGCTTTTCATAGAGAATTTTCGAGAAATTCGCTTTTCATATAGAATTTTCGAGAAATTCGCTTTTCATAGAGAATTTTCGAGAAATTCTCCTTTTATAGAGAATTTTCGAGAAATTCTCTTTTTATAGAAAATTTTCACTAAATTCTCTTTTTCTAAAATTTTCGATAAATTCTCTTTTTCTTGAGAATTTTCGATAAATTCTCTTTTTCTAGAGAACTTTCGATAATTTCTCTTTTTATAGAGAACTTCCGATAAATTCTCTTTTTCTAGAGAACGATAAATTCTCTTTTTGGTAAGCGTTTTATCTATTCGATTTTTATTATTCACTATCGATATCGAGATGGCGATCTTTGATCTTGCTTCTGAATTGTTAAAATTAAATGTAACCAAAATCTTGAAATCTCATTTAATGAAATCTCCAAAAATAACTACTCCACTTATTTTTAGGTCATTTTATGTTTTTTTTTTTTAACTGTAAATTCTTTCTCAAAATTAATAAGTTAAACCCTCTGTAATATTATTTTTGGAACGTTACCACTGCTCATTGACAATGACACCATTGATTGGTATTTCTTCTAACACATTTTATTGACAAGATGTGATCTACTTTTCGCACATTATTCGCAGAGCGACTGCGTGAGTGTTTGTAAATAACAAATTTATTTTCCTATCTTCTCTCCACTTTTGTTTGTGTGGCCATCAATAGAGCGCGTTTTTAATAGAAATTGATGATACTGTCTGTCATATTAAAGAAAATATTGTTGAAAAAAAAAAATATATATATATAAAAAATACTAGTATTAAAAGAGTAGAGTGGTGGTACGTACTTATATTACAAGCTGTGTGTGCTACTCTATTTTACATCATCATTACTTTTCTTTTAATTACACAGTTAAACAGAAATAGATTTTTTTATGATTATTTAAAAATATATATATGTTTGGAAATCTATTGATTTCAAAGTAAAAGCAATTTTGAAAATATAAATTATTTAGAAAAATTCTTTATGCTATGTTCACACGAGGGGATTATTTAAAAGTTCTCTTTTCTCTCTTTTATTCGTAATTTAAACTCAAAAAAGAACCGAATTACAATGTATATTATTACAATAGTTAATTCCCTTATTTATATTGAGTTAAGTTTGAATTAGTAAGCGAAGATTTTAGATGGATTTTTGTAGTGTGTCGTGAGAACAGAGTAATTGCAAATAATATTTCAGAAAGTAAATTTAGTTATAGGCACTAATGTGGGAGTATAGTTTTATAATTAATACTCATGAAATGTGAATTATTATACTAATTTAGTTTATGTTGGTACCGTGGGAACATAGCAATATACCGAAATATAAATTATGAGAAATCTTAAAATGAAGATCGGTGATTATCTAATTAAGTTTCTTTTTTATAATTTTTGTTTTAGAACTTTAAATTTGAAGACAAAATTGACAAAAATAAATATGCTGCTCTAACAGCTGTCTATAGCAATCACAATATTTCAATTCTTATTTCACATGTCTACAGCTGTCATTTGGCTGTCAAGCTATTATTGATTATGTTTGTTTTTAAATATTTTTTTTTTCAAAATCACTGTTCTTCTGTGTAAATAATATTTTAAAACCGGAGTTTCTCACGCTATGAGAAATTGTAACCAACACTTCATTAAAAAAAAAAATCATAAAAAAGGAAACTTTAACTTGTTAATTTCTTAGTTTTTTTATATAGTTTTACTTAAAACACATTTTGTAAATTATTACTTTTTCAATTTATTTCGGCATAAATCCGGTAAAGTATTTCCTTTTAAAAGCTTCTAACAATTTCTATAATTTTACTGATTTTTATTTAGATTTTTTTCAAAATTTTTTTAAAATTTAATTTAACGTCCATATGCGTTGGCCAACAAAATCTAACTGATGCTTAGAAGAGTAAAAGTAATCATCAACAGTTGGTCGTCGCATTGACAAATGAGAACATTGTGGATGTAGGAAAAACTACAACAGGTTCCAAGAAGTTTTGTGTTAACTTTACATCTTGTGTTTTTTTTACCATTTCTTAGTTTTCATAAAAAGAATATGGAAAAAATTGGTAGTTAAGAATATAATCGCTTTTTTATGTGTTTTGAAGATTTTCTTATTTTATTGTCGTTGTTGAACATAATAAAATACTAGTTTTTTTTAAAAAAGATTAAATGTTGTAGTTTTGGTTTTTTTGTGCGTTGCATGTTGTCTTAATTATATCGTCCCATCAGTTTTCTAGGGAGTCAATGTCTCCCTTCTCCATAAAATGTTTAGATGTCCAATTTTCTAATAATGTTGTCTTGAGGTTTGTACTCTGTTTGTCATTACTTTAGTGTCTCTAAGTAATCTATACAGGAGACTCTTACTAACCTCTTTTACCCAAGGAAGACTTTTGAAGTTAGCTATGTCTGTTTGTAAACGTTTTTGAAAGCTTTTTGCGTTTCTTCTAGGACATGCCGATTTGAAATATCTCATTTTGGTAGATGATCTGTAAAATCACTATTCCGTTACAGTCTTCACGAACTACAGGGAATGCTCTTAATGTATACCCTTAACATAAGAGTTTTGTTTATCTTTTAAATAACCTTAGGCTAAATTGTATCTTTCTTTTTAACCCTTTCGGGGTCAAAGGAGCTTGTATTTGTAACGCCCGAAACAAAAAGTACGGTAAAAGTTTATATTACTCTAAATTATTACTGAAGCATTACAAAGAGCAGAACTTTCTTTGAAATTGTTTAAAATTTAATGTCGATTTCTACAGCTACAATTCATTGGTTTGTTTTTTTATTATTATAGTTAAAATTTCAACATCCCTCTAATTTGATCGCCTTCGGCTACTTCTCAAGAAATTGAATATTGTTAAAGAATTCATTTAATAGTTTATATTTACCACTACAAATGGAAAACAATTTCGTTAAATAAAAGACATATAATAATATACCAATATAATGACATAGTTTCATTAATATTTGAAAACAGACTATATTCTGTTATCTATTATACAAAAATCTATTATAGAAACAATTTGTTGAGTTACATGACTTTAATGAAATTATATCATTTCTGCAAAACCACATTTCTTTATAGTGTTTATAAAACAATTTCATAAATTTAACAACCATTTCATTAAAGCAGTGAAATACTTTCACAGTGCAGTCAAAAAAAATCTATAGACTAGACTATAGACTAGACTATAGACTAGACTATAGACTAGACTATAGACTAGACTATAGACTAGACTATAGACTAGACTATAGACTAGACTATAGACTAGACTATAGACTAGACTATAGACTAGACTATAGACTAGACTATAGACTAGACTATAGACTAGACTATAGACTAGACTATAGACTAGACTATAGACTAGACTATAGACTAGACTATAGACTAGACTATAGACTAGACTATAGACTAGACTATAGACTAGACTATAGACTAGACATAGACTAGACTATAGACTAGACTATAGACTAGACTATAGACTAGACTATAGACTAGACTATAGACTAGACTATAGACTAGACTATAGACTAGACTATAGACTAGACTATAGACTAGACTATAGACTAGACTATAGACTAGACTATAGACTAGACTATAGACTAGACTATAGACTAGACTATAGACTAGACTATAGACTAGACTATAGACTAGACTATAGACTAGACTATAGACTAGACTATAGACTAGACTATAGACTAGACTATAGACTAGACTATAGACTAGACTATAGACTATAGACTATAGACTAGACTATAGACTAGACTAGTCTAGTCTATAGTCTAGAGTCTAGTCTATAGTCTATAGTCTAGTCTAGTCTATAGTCTAGTCTATAGTTTAGTCTATAGTTTAGTCTATAGTCTAGTCTATAGTCTAGTCTATAGTCTAGTCTATAGTCTAGTCTATAGTCTAGTCTATAGTCTAGTCTATAGTCTAGTCTATAGTCTAGTCTATAGTCTAGTCTATAGTCTAGTCTATAGTCTAGTCTATAGTCTAGTCTATAGTCTAGTCTAGTCTAGTCTATAGTCTAGTCTATAGTCTAGTCTATAGTCTAGTCTATAGTCTAGTCTATAGTCTAGTCTATAGTCTAGTCTATAGTCTAGTCTATAGTCTAGTCTATAGTCTAGTCTATAGTCTAGTCTATAGTCTAGTCTATAGTCTAGTCTATAGTCTAGTCTATAGTCTAGTCTATAGTCTAGTCTATAGTCTAGTCTATAGTCTAGTCTATAGTCTAGTCTATAGTCTAGTCTATAGTCTAGTCTATAGTCTAGTCTATAGTCTAGTCTATAGTCTAGTCTATAGTCTAGTCTATAGTCTAGTCTATAGTGTAGTCTATAGTCTAGTCTATAGTCTAGTCTATAGTCTAGTATATAGTCTAGTCTATAATCTAGTCTATAGTCTAGTCAATTTTCTAGTCTATTTTCTAGTCTATAGTCTAGTCTATTTTCTAGTCTATATTTCTAGTCTATAGTCTAGTCAGAATGAATCAGAATTCAATTTTGTTAAAATCATTTGTTTTGTATAAAAAAATTAATGTGCAATTTTCGCCTTCTGTTCAATTAATTAAAAACTCTCCTTACTTAGCAAATTTTATTGTATATAATTTTTATTTACAATTAATTTGTGTGTTTTTCTTCTCTTTTAATATTAAAATTAAAATAAATTACAATTTGAATAAATATAAAAAAATAATTAAAATTTTGTCCTTATTGCTTTTGTTAATTCTAGTCTTTTGTTGCTTATTTGCAAAAAAATTAACAAAGTTCAAAAAAATATATATTAAACATTAATTAATTGGTTAATAAATACAAAATACACATACATCTTAAATTAATACACATGTTTTTTTTCAAAATAAAAAAAATTACAACTACTACAATTAATGAGAGTGGAGATAGTGAGGAATTCTAAAAAAATAGGAGAGTGTCAAAGAAAGAAACTTAAATTATACTTTTCACTCGATTATAGAAAAGTAGAAGAAATAAAATAGACGACAACATTCTCCAAGAAATTAACACTATTTACAAAAGATTATTTTGAATTGGAGCTGCACTTAGGAGTGAGTGAGTCTGTGTGTGTGTGTAAGTAGCAGCTTAGTAAGATGAAGATGATTTTGAGTCAGTAATCCTGGGGTTTGTAAAATCAAATAGTACCCGTCAAGCCTACAACATGAGATATCCAATCGACTGTGTAGGGCACACGATGATAAATACCAGGTTGACCACGTGAGGCACACGAGTAACCAGCTGAGACAACACCTTTTTTTGGAAACAAGAAAATATTAGTGTTTTTTTGTTTGTTTTATAAAGCATTTCATTCATACCTATTAAATACCAACGTCCATTCTTTTCATGCATTAAGGGACCACCAGAATCTCCCTGACAGGAATCCTTACCACCATTACGATAACCGGCACACATCATTTCAGGATATATAACCACATTTATGCCATTCTGCCTATGCCATCTTTCACAGATTCTGTATGGAATTTAAAAGGGAGTTAAAAAAGTTTTTTTTTTCCGAATTTTGTTTAAAGAAGTGTATTATTAGACCAAAATTTAAAAGGTATTTGGATCCGATATGAACTGATCCTCATAAAACTTTACAGTAGTCTAGTCAATTCTATAGTCTAGTCAATTCTATAGTTTAGTCTATAGTCTATAGTGTAGTCTATAGTGTAGTCTATAGTGTAGTCTATAGTGTAGTCTATAGTGTAGTCTATAGTGTAGTCTATAGTGTAGTCTAGTCTAGTCTAGTCTAGTCTATAGTCTAGTCTAGTCTAGTATAGTCTAGTCTATAGTCTAGTCTATAGTCTAGTCTATAGTCTAGTCTATAGTCTAGTCTATAGTCTAGTCTATAGTCTAGTCTATAGTCTAGTCTATAGTCTAGTCTATAGTCTAGTCTATAGTCTAGTCTATAGTCTAGTCTATAGTCTAGTCTATAGTCTAGTCTATAGTCTAGTCTATAGTCTAGTCTATAGTCTAGTCTATAGTCTAGTCTATAGTCTAGTCTATAGTCTAGTCTATAGTCTAGTCTATAGTCTAGTCTATAGTCTAGTCTAGTCTATAGTCTAGTCTATAGTCTAGTCTAGTCTATAGTCTAGTCTATAGTCTAGTCTATAGTCTAGTCCATAGTCTACTCTATAGTCCAGTCTATAGTCTAGTCAATAGTCTAGTCTATAGTCCAGTCTATAGTCTAGTCTATAGTCTAGTCTATGGTCTAGTCTATAGTCTAATCTATAGTCTAATCTATAGTCTAGTCTATAGTCTAGTCTAGATTCTGGTTTATAGTCTAGTCTACAGTTTTCTTTCGAATAACTCCAAAGTGCTCCATTTGATATTTCACTCATTCTTACCTATTTTCAATAACTGGAACATCTACAGCCTGTAAGGTCTTGGGTCGTAATCTAGATCCAGGATTTAGAGCACCCCAACCCGCAGCCCAACCAAATTTACCCAAGAAATCTTCATTCTTTTCGGGCAAACAAATGGGAGCTAAAGCGAAAAAACACATTAGAAGTTTGTCTAAAATATTACAATCTCAAACACTTACCTATATGAGGCATAAAATGTACCGTTCTTTCCAAGGTCAATACCGACACATCAAAACGATCTGCTTGAGGAGTAAATTTGAAATAGGGATGAACATCAATACGTCTAACACCAAATGTATAGGCTGGCAATGGTTCTACCGCTGAATTGATAACATAATCACCCAAAGTAACATGTACCTGTCTAGGGGTGGCTCTGGCTACACAATGGCCAGCAGTGACTACATGACGTCGTGAAATCAAAGAGCCGCCACATCTAAAATAATATTATTAGAATGTATTTGTGGAAGCAAATTCATTCATAAGCTTACCTGGAGGAACCAATACGTATATAAGCCTGCCAGGGGAAAGAACCAAAGCCAGCATCATCTCCTCCCACTATACGCCTCTGAGCCGTTTGTTTAGCCAGTGATATGCCGCAACCTATAAATCATAATTTTTGCCCATGTTTCAACACACCAAATTAATCAAGTTTATCAAACAAAAACGATCATCATTCAAATTAATCATTTTGCTGATATTAATCTTACAAACAGACTTTTTAGGTGCAAAAATAAAAGCTTTCTATAACTAGTAAGTAAATAATAAGATAAGCCAAATAAATATTTATATGTATGTGTAATTTATGTAAATAAAACAAGCTTACGAGTAAGTACAGTAGCAAAGTGTTTTGTTACTACCCAAAATAAAACAAGCAGAATATGTCTTTATTTATATGTATATGTATGTATGCATGTTTAAATGTAAGTGTAGATGTAATTATAAGGTAACAAAATTTTAAACGATTTGAGGCTGATCTTCCGCAGGAACAACAACAGGTTAAGTAATGATCTTTAATTTTTGTTCTAAACATGGTCATTTTATTAACGGTTTAAAACATGCAGTTTAGTTTTTTGCATTTGAATTTTTTAAAAAAAAAAGCTTAACAAATTTAAACCACTAAACCTTTTCTACAACCCCTTTTAACCGGAACCATATAAACAAAAATAATTTATAATTTTTAACATGTGAAGATGATTATCTAGAAACTAAACTATTTAGCCAAGAAAAAAGGAAGTATTTAACTATTAATAAGAGTAAATTTAATAAAATTACAAAATTTCTTTAAACTGTTGTGGCAAGTACATCATGCAATTGGCAACATGCAACAAAATTTGCTAAAAATAGTAAGAAAAACTACAGCGTGCAAAATACTAAAATATTACTACATATTTATTTTGTTGTTTAAATTTAGTATGAAATGCCAAGAAATAAAAACAAAAATAGTTATGAAACATGCAATTTTTATTTGTTTATTAACAGCGTACCACACTCTTCTACACACCACTTAAAGAAATACCATTTCAACATCATAATAGTTTTGGTCATTTGGGATTAGCCAGGTTAGGATTGCTGCCAGTGCTTCGAACACATAAATAGTTTTGAAATTTATTTACACCTTTTACACCGCATTTTCAAAAATAGTATATTTATAAGTTTTTTTTTTTGATTTTTTGGATTTTGTTTGTTCGTGCAGTACATAAGTCTTTGGTTGGTTAAGAAATTTCTTTTGTTTTTTTTTAAATTTGTTTAGTGGCCGTTTCTTAGCGAAACTGCTTGGTTTGTTGGTTTTCTAACACTCACTGTGATCATTTTTCACCGGTCCATAGTTCTTTTGCGGAAGATCAGTCAAATCGATTGTATGGCCCACATAGTCAGAGGTACGCAAATTGGCCGATTTAGCTGTCCGATGACAGCAGCCACGCAACAATCCATTACAAGTACCCTGCAGAAGACCGCCAGTCATCCAGCAGCCTACAAAAAATTCACAAGTGCCACCGCGATGCTGGCATTCCAGTTCGCTTGTGATGTCAGCTGAATGTGAAAAGAGAAAGGAAAGAGAGTGGAAGTGGAAGCATACATAGATACCAAGATGAAAGCAAGCAAGCAAGCTGAGTGTGCTCTAAAAGTTGATGAACGGTTCGGTAGTTTCTTTTTAAAAATACATATGTATATGTAAAACGGACCCAATGTTTTGTGGAAAAGGTTTGTTCTGGATGGGATTTTCACTGAGTTTGTAATGAAATTTGAAGGATAATTAAGGATTTTTCTTAAAAATGCTTAGAACAAAGTATTTTTTTTTTTTAAATTTCAAAAAAATTTTGTTTTTTTTTATAAAAATATCAAAATTTTAAAAAATCTTAAGGTTTTTTTATAAAAATATCCAAAATTGAGAGAATAAACAAGACGGGTCCAGCAAAAACTTGTTAATGACTTTTACATACTGTAAGTAAGGCCCATGATAGGTTAATGGTTATTGTTCTCGTCTATTAGACCGGAGGTCATGGGTTCGATTCCCACCTGAGACACTAGTAAGGGAACGCACAACAGGCCCGGTAATAGTCTAGTTGTATTTCTTCGAATTTCAAACTAACGAACTACTCAATAACTTACTTTTCAATAACTAATTCCTACCATCTCCTTTACCATTAAGTAGTTTGGTAATGACTGACATATTATCATATATGTAAGTACTCTTATGGGTAGCAAGTGCTTTTCTACACAGACAGAGATTAAATAGTAAAACAATTATTATCGTCTAAAGACAAAACAATTTTCTTTACTGGCAATTGGTAAGCGAGCGTGGTAATGACTTATTTAACTCCCTATTTGTAAGCAAGAGTAATATGTTCCGGCCTCCATTAACAGCATTGTGTTAAAATGCAAATGTATAAGTAGTTCTATATGCTTTTTAAAATATGACTTTTCAATGTAAGTTTTTGCTGGGGGCATGGTCGACCATACGACTTCCTCCACCGGAGGGTCCAGAGAGTTCTCTACACATTTTTTTAGAGTGAGTAATGATGCTATGAAAAGATCGAATTTTGATCGAATGCATTGGAGTGATATCGATAAATTGGATTTGAAATTATCTACCCTGGCAAAATTGGGACTACGCTTCACATGTGTTAAATGAGTACTCCGCAAAGGACTAGAACTGGTCCAAAACTAATCCAAATATATAAATAAACTTGCGGAAGCCAAACATGCCTTACATCAGACCAAAACTACGCTAAAATATGGTACTACATAATCCACAACATGGTAGTATTGTCCACTGTTAGTACAATGGTTAGGGGTACCATAGACTCTGGTAAAGGAGCTCACAATACTCCCGGTAGTGTTCTAGGTGTATTGTTTCGTATCTGTTGTAACATAAATCCTCCTTTCAATCTAACTATTAAGTAGATTAAGGTCTGATTAGTTAAATGATCGCTATGGGGATATTTTGTATGGGGGCTAAAGGAAATAAGGACCGATTTCAACCAAATTAAAAGGGTTCGTCTTTAGACAAAAGTATACAAATAGCAATATATCCCTTCATTTCTGCATTACAACCTTTCAGTGAATCCCATTAGAAAAACCATTAATTTTACTTATTTCCTTGTAAAACTCAAATAAACCTGTTCTATATAGAAAAAATAAGATAAATTGTATAACCGCACTTTCTTTTTTCAGTCTTATATAATCTATAATGTAGTAGTATTCTTATATCCGTGAGTGTTTAATAAGCAGGAGTTAAGATTAGTTTTCATGATTACTGTCTCTATACAATACTCATTACAAAACTCTTTTTTTAATTTTTCGTACATACCTTTCTCCTTAAAAGTACTGGCCGATTGTGCTACCGTTGGAGTGCTACTATCCGATGAACTATCTAAATCCTGTAAACTGAATTCATTGCGAACATCTTGAACAGCAGCCAATTCATTAATGCCAAAGTTTTGATCGCGAAATACAACATTATCGTTGAAATAGACTCCAGTGCCAGTGCTGCTGGGTCCAGTGGCTCCTACATTATCATTGACGGGGAATACCACTCTGGGACTTCTGGAGGATTTGTAGGGGAAGTAGCGACTTTTGCGGGAACTAGTAGGATCTACGGGACCTATATATTCATTGAAATTTTTCTGCTGCTGGGTATAAGGACGAGACAAAGTGCCCGTTCTAAATTCAGTGTCACCAAAGTACAGGCCTCTTTGTGGTCTTTGCGGTATGGCGGTAATGGGTCCATTAATATCGCCAAATTTGGTAACCTCATCACGGTATTGTTTACCCTGGGCTATGGCTGAATTAAGAGTATGAGGTATAGAGCTAGAGCCGCCTAAACTGGAAAAGTCATATGAATAGGAAGTGGGTGAGGCATCTTGTTCAAACACCAATTGACGTGTTAGACGTTTATCTTTATCATCATCACTGAAAGGTCTTTCAAAACCAGTGGATTCAGTAAATATGGGATTGTCTTCACGATAGGCTTGGGGCTGGAAGGGATTTGAGGGACTTAAACTGTAACTGGGAAAAGAAAAACCCACACGCCGACTGCTATTCTCCTCACCATGATCATAACGATCAGTGGATGTTAGAGGACTAGGTGCTGCTGTATCACTGCGTTCAGTTTTATCGGAATAGTTAGCCACATCTTCGGCAATTTCGGGTAAAACAGGTGCCACTTCGCTGCCGGGAGGCTTTAGGCCACTTAAGGAGCCATTATGTTTGGGTTTCAATTGCAAAAGATAATTATTAGCGCTATCCTGTTGCAGAGGAATATACATATAATTACGTTTACGACCCACCCGACTGATATTAACGGCCTGCGAGGGTACTACTTGCTTGGGCACGGTAATAAGGGGTGAGGCGGGTAATTCAACAGCAGGAGCTGCTATTATCTCTACTTCGGCCGAGTCGGCACGCCTATTAGCCTGCACAGGAACTGAACGATTTGGTACTAAGGATCTACCCTCACGATAAGAGCCAAAAGTTTGAACGGCTGAACCATCGGGACGTATTAGTAAATTGGGAAAATTGGCCACATCTGTTTTGGAAAAACTTTGGTAAGGAGCATATAAATTACGTGCCGAATTCGACTGTCCTACTCTCGCACTTGTAGCAGCCTGTTCCAACCAGGGTGGTTGATTCACCGAACTGCCATAGGGCTGTGTAGATGATTGCTGTAGAGGTGTAGTAGGCGTGGCTGCATGCTGTAACGTGCTAGCCAAAGCAGGTGTGTGCGTGTGTAGGTACAAAGCATTATTATCGCTGAGCTGGGCCTGTGTTAAGACCAGCAGACTGCTGAGACCTGTTATGAGAGACCAAAGACTGCATTGTTTGGTTGCTTGCATTTTACATGGAGCTTTAAGGAATTACTTGTTGTTGTTGTTATTGTTTTACTTAGCTGGATGATTTGTGATTATAGGAGTCACAGGATTTTTAAAGCAATTTTAGCAAGTGTTGGTCGAGAGGTTTGAAATTGAAAGAGGTAAATACGAAAAAGAGTAAAAAGAAGTGAAGGTGGTGTGGTGGTGGTGATGTTGGTTGTTGTAAGTTTTTCGTTTTGAATGTAGATTATTTAGCTGTCGTTTATATTCAAAAGAGTTCCGTTCATTGAACTATTTGTTTGGTTGGTTTGTTTGTTCGCTTGCTTATAGCTGTTTGATTTTAATCGATAAATGTTGTTTTCCTGTGCAACAGTTTATTTGTTATTATTGTTGTAGTTGTTGTTGCACTGTTTCAGCAAAGATCAGTTTATTATGTGTACCTGCCACGGATATCTCGTGCCTCTGTTGGCTTTGCTCTTGGATTAGTTGTTGCAGTGGCAATATTAGTTGCTGGGGTTTTTTTTCGCTATAATATTGTTGCTGCTGCTAATGTGTGCAACAATATTTTTTGTTTTGTATCTTGTTTAAGGAACTGCATTCACACATACACACACACATATATATACTATAGTAAAGAAACAACACTCCCGTGATCACGGGATGAGCTTTATATAAAAATTACACTAGTTGTTGATGTTTTTATTATTATTACAATTATTACGTTTTTAGTTGTTGTTTATGTTAAATTTTAAGCGTTTAAACATTTTCTAGAGCTGACTGCGGTTATTGGTCTTTTGTTGTTGTTGCTGTAGCTGCTTTATAATAAACTTGTGCTACTGCTTCAGTTGCTGTTGCAAATTGCAATTATTAGTTGGGAGTTTGTGGTGTTTATGCTCTTGCTAGGTTTCGTTTATGTTGCTGCAATTGTTGTTGTTGTTGTTACTTTTGCTATTACGTGAACATGTAAACAGTCGTGTATTAATAGAGACGCCACATCTCATCAAATGGTGTTTAGTTTTATTTTTTTCACGAAAAAAAATATACAAAACAAAAAATGCAGCACACACAGGTATCGATAATTGACTTCCTTAATGCCTGCAGTCAATATCACTTGAGTGGCCTCTGCTAGAGAAATGCATAGAAAAAAAGAAGAAGAAAATAAATTAGTGATCATAATTTTTTTATTTTGTAGCTTTTTTTTGTTAGTTTATTATTTTGCAATCAGGAAATTTTGTGTTTTTGTAACGCGTTTCATGAGAGGTGAACAAACAGTTAATAATCAAACGTATTACAATCATGTTGCATGGTTTAATGTTGTTGCTGCTGCTGCTGCTGTCGTTGTTGAGGTGTGGACATTCCTGTATAACTGCCTGATTTGTGGAGACATTGTTGTTGTACGGTCATGCAAGTGACCGAATTAATGGTTGTCAACAAATTTTCGAAAAAAATTATTAAGCGGAAGGATTACTTAACATAACTATCAAACTAAAGACATGAGTTATTTAATGCGTTGATAGTTGTACAACTTTTAAAGGATGTACCGTGTATGGGAAAATTTATACGATCTTATACCTTACACTATGAAACATTATGAATCAATGTTACGCCCTGGAGTTTGACCCGGATATCTGAGTCAATGCGATTCTAATCTGATAAAGATAATGTCCGATAATTTAGCTTAATCCATCTTGAACCAATTCTTTAATACAAACGTTTTGATCCCGATAGATCACTTTATAGTTGAAATATAATCCCTTGCCGGTTCTCTTGGGTCCTGTTGACCGGAAAAAACACTCTTGGACTTCTGGAAGATTTGTAACGACTTTTGCATAAAATTTTTGTATCTACAAGATCTATATATTGATTGAAATATTTCTAATGCTGGGTATAAGGACGAGCGAAGATGGCATGGCGGTAATGGTTCCATTAGTGTCGCCCATTTTGGGTTGGAATAGTATGTTGGATAGGCATCGTATTCAAACAAAAATTGACGTGCTGTAGTCTTGTCTTTGTCGTCATCCTTTAAAAGTCTTTCAAAACCGGTGATCTTTTAGAAAGCAGAGTTTGAACCAAAGACTATTTAATAATTTTATGAATCACTCACAAAAAATACGACTTGAAGTTTTATTACAAAGTTCGTATATTGCTGATTCAACTTATAAAGTGTTGCTAATGAAATGAAGATACTTTAGATATTAATTTTGTAGTTGTGGAAACAATAGATCAGAATGGATTAAAAACCGTAACCCCCACTATTAAAGATTAGCAGAAAGTTTTCCTGATTTCAAGCTTACAGAAGATTTTGGCTGTTACTTTGTACCAACACGATTACCCAACCGCAACCATGCAAATTTTGTCATCCGTTTTGCAACTAATGCGCAAATATATGCAAACTAGGCATCATGACATCATGACTTCTAGTGTTTGCAAAGTGCATACCTTGATCAACAAGTGTATGCCTTAATCAACAACTCAATATTGACGTTGCTTTCAGGAAAGCTGCTTTTCGTTTTAGTGGACAGTTTTCCTGATTTCAAGCACGAATTCCCAACCGCAACCATGCAAATTTTGTCATCCGTTTTGCAACTAATGCGCAAATATATGCAAACAATGCATCATATAAGTTGGCTGTACCTTTCATAGACAAAACAATTGATTTCTGGTGTTGCATAGTGTATACCTTGATCAACAGGAAAGCTGCTTATCGTTCTAATTTTTTAGCAGAGAGTTTTCCTGATTTCAAGCACGAATTCCCAACCGCAACCATGCAAACTTTGTCATCCGTTTTGCAACTAATGCGCAAATATGTGCAAACAATGCATCATATAAGTTAGCTGAACCTTTCATAGACAAAACATTTGATTTCTAGTGTTGTAAAGTAAACTTGCTAGATTTAAACTCAACATTGACGTTGCCTGCAGGAAAGCGGTCTTTTCTTCTATTTTTTTTAGAATTTTTTAGATTTATGAGAACTTTTATTTCCAAGATCAGAAGAAAATCTTAAGCACATTAACGAGATTTTTACTAACACTAAATTTTACAGATATATTCACAATTTGCTTTCCCTTTTTTTCGACGAAAAAAAACCTTTAGGGCTGAAATCTAACATTAACTTTTTTTCTTTACTTCTCACAACCATTATTACAAAGTTTTAATGTATAATTTTTACTACCTTTTGACAAATATACATACATACATACACACACACATATATCTCTTCATCATCTTAGTGTACGATTTTCACTTTCATAATGAGTTCAGCACACTTTAAGAGGATGTTGTAATAAAAATCATTTAACCGCAAACAAATCACACTTACTAAACAACAACAACAACACTGAAAATTTATATATTTCCAACTATAAAAGCTAAAAACTAGCAACAAAAAGAAAAACCCATCTTCTCGACCACGTGAAATGGAAAATAATTTCATGTTGTAAAACATTTCCTCTATGCGGGAGTCAAGTCCACAAAAAACTAAACACACACACACAAAAGAAAAAAAATATGTGAATGATCATTTCAGCGTTAAGTTAAGTTAAGTTTTTAAACTTGATTTTCCACTAAACTGCATTTTCATTTAAACAATATAAACGTGTGTGTTGAAAAAGAAAAAAAAAAAAAAAAAAAAAAAACAGGCGTGTAGAGTAAAACTTTCCAAACATCTACTCACAGAGTAAGCAATTTGTTATTTTATTTTTGCTTTCATAGTATAAGTGAGGAGAAAACCGGAAGTTAAAGTAAAATGTTTAACAACAATAATAAAACTGACCTTGAGAGTGTTTAAGGAAAAAAAGTAAATAAAAACAAGAAAAAATAAGTAATAAAAGTGAATTGTTGGGCTGTTTGTTTAAATAAGCAATTTTGTAAAGTCTGTCTATTTAATAAAAAAATGTTTAATAAATTAAAAAAAATTGTTATGTAAAATATTTATTAGTTAAATAAGACAGGACACTGGTTTTATATATTTATTAAGGAAATTAATTTTTTAATTATTTACATAACATATTTGACAATTATTTCTGGTTTACATAATGCAAGTGGACAGGGAAATGGTTTAATTTTATTAATCTATATTAATATCTCATAATTATGTTAATAGAAAATTTCCTTTAAATGCAAATATTTTGCAGTTAAAAGCTTTGGCATAAACATGATTATAAATTTTACTTTACATATAATATAACATTTTTTTACTTTCTACTCTCTACTTATAGGACACTAGCTCCTCCTCATTAGCTGTTTCAGTTCGTCTTGAATGTTGGACGGACGGATAGTTGTTCTACATTGTGCAACCGAACAAAAATCAAAAGAAAAAAAATTATGAAAAATCTCAGTCCCTAGTTCTGTAACTCTAAAATTAACAGACCCTTGTTATATAAACCAAGGGATTAATACGGATCAAACTATGTCTCTACCTATGAACCTACTGTCAAATTGTTCAATTTGTTTTCTTGTTAAAAAATCGAAAATTTTAGTGAACATTTTTTACAGAAAAATTGTCTTTTTAGTAAAAAATTGAATTTTTAGTGCCAATATGAATTTTTAGTCACAAATCTATTTTTTTTAGTGAAATATTGAGTTTTTAGTGAAAAATTGAATTTTTAGGGAAAAATGTAATTTTTAGTGAAAATGTAATTTTTAATGAAAAATTTAATTTTTAGTGCAAAATCTAATTTTAGTGAAAAATTTAATTTTTAGTGAAAAATATAATTTTTAGTGAAAATTTTAATTTTTAGTGAAAAATGTAATTTTTTGTGAAAAATTTAATTTTTAGGGAAAAATTTAATTTTTAGTGAAAACATTTCAGAATTAGACTACATTTCAGAATTAAGGCAAGTGTCCTTTAATATGTACTATATGGTCCACTCTAAAGTCTTGACTATACTCCAGACTATAGGAAACTAGTTCAAGTGTCATATAGAATGGATTATATGGTCCTCTCTAAAGGTCAGCCAATAGGCTAGGCTATAGTTCCTATTATAGGCTACGTTACAGTTCAGACTACATATAGACAAGATTTTTTAGCACTACAGTATTGACTATATGGTCCACTCTATAGACTATAGTTACAATATAGTTGAGAATAGACAATAGACTAAACCAGTCTATACGCTAGATTATTGACCAGACTATACGCTAGACTAGAGACCAGGCTATAGACAAGACTATAGGCTAGACTATAGACCAGACTATAGGCTAAACTATAGACAAGGCTATAGGCTAGATTATAGACCGGCTGACCGACTACAGGCTAGACTACACCAGACGTTAGGCTAGACTATAGAACAGACTACAGGCTAGACTATAAATCAGACTATAGGCTAGACTATAGATCAGACTATAGACCAGACTATAGTCTAGACTGTAGATCAGACTGTAGGCTAGACTATAGATCAGACTATAGATCACACTATAGGCTAGACTATAGGCTTGACTATAGATCAGAATACAGGCTAAACTATAGGCTGGACTATGCTATATGCTAGACTATAGATCAGACTATAGCCTAGACTATAGATCATGCTTAAGGCTAGACTATAGATCAGACTATAGGCTAGACTATAGATCAGACTATAGTCTAGACTATAGATGTGACTATAGGCCAGATTAGACCAAATTATGGGCTAAACTATAGACCATATTATAGACCAGATTGTAGGCTAAAGATTATTGGCTGCACTCTAGGCAAGGCTATAGATCAGACTGTAGGCTAGACTATAGATCAGACTGTAGGCTAGACTATAGATCAGACTATAGGCTAGACTATAGATCAGACTATAGGTTAGACTATAGATCAGACTATAGGCTAGACTATAGATCAGACTATAGGCTAGACTATAGATCAGACTATAGGCTAGACTATAGATCAGACTATAGGCTAGACTATAGATCAGACTATAGGCTAGACTATAGATCAGACTATAGGCTAGACTATAGATCAGACTATTAGCCTATAGATCAGACTATAGGCTAGACTATAGATCATACTATACTAGACCTGACTACAGGCTGGACTATAGACCTGACTATAGGCTAGACTATAGACCAGTTCATAGACTAGACTATAGACATGTCTATAGATGTGACAATAAGCTAGACTATAGGCTA